TAAAAGCCTTTTAGCTGCTCGAAAGGCCTGGAACGGTAATTTGGATTCGAGTAATCAGAGGTTGGTGAGTTCAGCAAATATGAATAAAGCCCAGACAGGATTGACTGAACGGAATAAAGCTTATTTTCGGAACCCTTCAGTTAGGGTAAATTATATAACTGGACCTAGAGTAGCTTCTAGGATAAGTGATGGTGATACAGTAACGGTTAAGAAGCCTAGGAGACATGATGCTACTATTACTAAAAAGCCTGAACCTCATGCTCTTACGGATGCTACGATTAGCTATGGAAATAGTAGCCATCAGAACCTCAATAGTCACAGTGATAATAAGGATATAGAAAGTGTCAGCAGTCCACTTATAGGGACTAGTTTATCGACTTCATCGAGTGAGCCTCCTAGTGTTTCGACGCCGTTGGACCTCGTCACGAAGGTTAAGTCGATTGAAGATGCACAAGGTTGTGCAGCTGTAACTGTTCCTATTACGGTTGACCGTCAGTCGAGTGATGATGAGAAGAAAATGTTTGATGGTAACAGACAGTCTACAGTGCTGTGTGATGACGATGCTATTGTTGAGCATATGTCTTGTGCCGCGGAAACGGATGCTAATGTAGAACGGAATCATTTAGACGTTGACAATAAACTGGATGTCACTGATGTGACAAATGAGTTACCGACGATGATGAACACTGTTCAAACCTCCTCTGCATCAGGAGATGGAAGGATAAATATTGATCCTACGTCATGCTACTTAAGGTCTTCTGGAGACGACGAAATGTCAAAATTGGAAATCTCACCCTTGCATATTAGTTATGGGTCAAAAACTTCTGTTGATAAGTTGGCATCACGGACTTCATGGTATCTGCTGATCAGAGCAAGTGGTGGTGGATTGGCGACTCGTCCCCACGATAGAGAATGTAGTCCTTGGATAGGATATGACCAGTTTTGCGACGCGTTGTTCATGTTCGTATGGGTTAATTGGGGAAGGTTTATACTACCGTTAGGTCATTCCACGATAGATAGGGGAATCAAGGGCCTGATGGGAAAGTATAGGTATCTAGTTAGCGCGATAGGTCATATCCATGTTGGATGGCGGGTAGGCGTACTGCTGTAAGTCCTACACGTTATTCCGGTGTGGATTAGGGGATAACATGGGAACCCTAATTAAGGTGTCGTTAACGCTTGCTGTTTTTGCATGGAGGGATTTTGCGGGCCGGTGTAGAATTCTTTTTGAATGTTTTGTTTTTGGGAAAATCCCTCCATGTTTACATATTCTTGCCATGACCTGATGGACTTTTTCTCTTGACATTTTTGGTATTTTATTTGATTCCAATTTGAGATTTTACCATTGTATATTGTTATTCTTTCCATATTTTGTACTTATATTGAAGTTTTTGTGTTTGCTTCTGAATTGTACATATATTGTTTAAATTTGATATAATATGGCTACCGCCACATTTTTGGATAGACGCAGTGGCTGCTGAACTTAGTGTCACTTACTAGCTATTGTAATAGATACTCTACGGAGTAATTTAGTCCTGGAAGAAACATAAACATCGTAAGTCTCTGTATTTCCATTTTTTATAACAATAGAGACGGTTTTCTCCTAGAATTTTCGGCTTTCTGATTTGGCTGGGACGGGTATCTAGGAGAATCGTACCGGTGTGTTTCTATTGGACGCGATTAGGACAGCCGCCTGCGAAATAAATTCTACAGTTGGATCTTGTAGCTTTTGCCACGATATCAATTTTAAATGGCCTGTTCTGGTCTTTGGAAAAACTGAATATTTTATTCTTCTCCAGTCATTGTTTACAAGTACTTTGACCTTGGTTTCTCTACTCCGCTTGTCACATGTCCAGTTTGTTTTTATCTGACTATGGATAATTTTTTGTGCCTTATTGGGTTTGGCCGCTAGCCATCTCTACTTCGTTTCACTTAACTTTTATCCCTCTCATTCTTGTGTCATTCTGCTTACGTGAGTCAGTGAAACAAAGTCATCCGACTAAAACTGTATCGGGTCTTTCATTGACGTCGTCGTATAAATGCATATAAATAAATTACAGAAATTAGGCGAAAGTTTCATTTTGTAGCGTATTCGACTGCTCGTACGAAACGGGGACATACCCCTGACCCCTGACATCTATTTGATTGCATAGGTGAAAAATTTTGAGCTTTTCGATGACGGTCTACATCTAATGACTTTCCGTTTAGGATACATTTGCAACTAACGAATAAAAAATAAACTAAACATTCACTAGGGATTACTATACTCTGTAGATGAATTTAACGAATATCTTAGATGTTGGTACTTCGCTTACTTGCTAAAGTCGGTGAAAGCCTTGCTCGAATTCTTTCAAACTGTACAAGGATTCGATCTACGAACCACCGTTAAAAAGAACCTCATAGACAAGAGGATCCGTACTCAAACTAGTTGATGCATTGGTATTATAAGCTATGGGTAGAAACACCAAAAAATGGAAATAGTGTTAGATACAGAACTAAAAACAATGCAAGGTAAAGGAAATTTTGCCTGTGAGAAATTTTTTCAAAATATACAGTATTTCTAGATGCGTATAGAATCCATTTTGAATGCTTTGTTTTAGGAAAATCGATCCATATATATGTTTGTAATATGTTCTTACTGACTGGTTATGTTCAATATTTTGGTTGTCTGTTTAATGTGATGTTAATATTTGTATTTTGTCATAGCTTCTGTTTTTTGTAGCTTTATTGGAGTTTCTAAGCTTTCCACGGAACTGTATTATGTTGTCTAAGTTGATACTTTATTATGGCTACAGCCATATCGGATTTGATGCCCTGGCTGGTAAAACGTGAATTTCGACTGGAAGGGTGTGATTTCGGACCTGTACGGAGGCATTCTCCAGGAATTGGAAACACATTGTGTTAATTTTAGCGGAGAAAAGTGTAATATTGTTTAGGTAATTATCTGTAAATTTTGGTTAATAATAGAACCGTTTCTTACCCAGATAAATTGCTTCCTTTCTCGACATCCAGGCAAGGCGCATATCAAAACTTCTAGAACTTTTTTCCCGAATTCAAAGTTCACTCTGAATCTAACAGTATACGCTCTTAAGAAAAGTTAGACAGCCCATAAAAATGCAAAATTTTGGCTGTTCAAATACAGAATGTTCACTAATATATCTGTTACTAATTGTCGAACCCAAGTAATATATATGAGTTTGATCAGAAAGTGCCCTTTTTCATAGAACCAAGTGCAGATGCATTTTCTTCCCCAGCAATTCACTCCGTTTCCAATAGGTGCAGGTTGGCACTCAACGTCCCAGATCCAATAACAAAACACAATAATTCTGGGAGAAAATGGTCTTTATTCATTATGAAATGGAAATACAGACAATTACCCAACTATTGTTACACCTTCCAAGTCCAATTTACCCTGGTGGGTATCCGCTTCTGGAAGAATAAGTGCTTCCAGTCCAAATTGCTACGGTATCAAATCCAAAAATGGCTGTAGCCATATTAAATATCAAATTTAAACAACATATGTACAGTTCAGAAGCAAACATAAAAACTTCAATATAAGTACAAAATATAGAAATAATAACAATATACGATGATAAAATCTCAAAATGGGATCAAATAGAGTACCAAAATGTCAACAGAAGGAGTCAGTCATATCATAACACAAATATATATACATAGAGGGATTTTCCAAAAAACAAAACATTCTAAAAAAGATTCTACACCAAGTGAATGCAGCGGTGATGCTTATCTGTACTTCTCCGACCACTTCTTATAAATACACATTGAAACAAATATTTATTCTGACTATTCACCAAGAGAGCCAATTCACCTGGTCATTACAATGGGATAAGCGGAATTAGTTATTATTCGTGGAATTCGACGTCAGCATAAGCTGGAAGATAACAATACTCCCGTCTATTGCATGTAGACTGACCATTGATTTATCAAAACTGCTGTTGATTAGCGAAAGCATCAGCGAAAAATGATCCTTATATGTGTGATATATTTAGTGCTCATTATCACAGTAATATGGATGAACGAATTTCTTAGAAAAGTCGGATGAGCATTATATGCTAGTCACTGAAGTAGAGTCGAACAAAATACAATGCTAACTCTGATACTAGAAGGTGGGTGTCTTTGCACTTTAAACGAGTTCTGGCATCAAATATTTAAAGGCATTTTCCCGTTCATCTACTGCCTGAGCGTTTCACACAAGGACAGATTATTTTATCGCGGATGACGTTCCAGGCTCTAAGTAATATACATGTGACCTTTATTTAGTTAGTTGGGAAGCAGTACACAGAAGTATGTAACCATGGAAGACTTATGTCTTTAAATGACTGCCTGAAATCTTTAGCGGAAAGATTTTTACGCAATATTTGCCGATTAACTAACATAAAAATCAATAAAAAAATCTAGAGACCACACACTTATAGAAATTGGTATTCTTGTCAGCCTAAACTTAAAACTTGACAATTTGAAATGTCACGTAATGAATACTCTGCCCAAAGTGATGCAAACAATTTGCATCCTCATAGAAAGACTGCTCCCTAATGTATCCTTAGAGATCTACCCCATTTAATAACCTCAGAAAGCCTTACTACCACTTCAAACTAATTAAGAGATACAGCCAAAACTAACGTATCTCTTCAATTTATGCGAAGACAATTTGGTGTAGCCATCCCACAATTGTTCTCATATCCCTTTAAATTATGCACAAGACCACACTTTGAAGTTCACAATATTGTTGCATACACTCTCCTTAGAAGGAAAATAAGTCTCCTAGGTCATGTGCATGCATAAGCAACTAGGTAGGTGATAGGATTACAGAATACAATTTACGAAGACAGACTCAAGCACTTTGGGTTATTCCCTCTGAGTTACTAGAGAATCAAAAGTAATTTGATAATGACACACAACATTAGGCCCAAAGAAATCAGTTGGTTGATACTTGTTCGTGAAAAAGATATTGAATATTGGATGTTGCTCAAGGTCGGTCAGGGTAAATTGATTGTGGCCTGTACACTTCTGGCACGTGTAAATAGTACACATTGGTCACGTTTTCTTATTAGTCGTAAGTATATCCTATGCGCCAAAGGGTTACGTTATCCACTTTTTAGCTCTCCATCACTGCGAAAGGTACCTTCAAATTAAGTGCAAACCAATACAGACATGACATACATATGTTCTTCGTGCAAGGTTGATGTGTCTGTCACAGAAAGAATCAACCATGTTAGGAGCGAATGGCATATTTACAACCTGAAGCGTATTGTTTCTCACCTACCACCGATATCTGAAGATATATTCATACAAAAAAAGCAATTGATCGCTGCAGAAACACCGGTTGTTATACAGGTTTGAACAAATCTATTTCATTTTGATATAGTAGAAAACGTATTGTGATGCTTGCAAGAAATCATTCTCAAATAACAAGTCATTTAGTGCCCACCTAAACTCAAAGCGACATATCCATAACAGCCAATTGTCCCGAACGTAAGTATTATATCTCTAGACCCTCGTTTATTTGTATTCTTCCTAACCATCAGTTTATTCTCATAGTTGGTTTTATAATTGTACTACCAAATGCTCAGCGGCAAACAAATTGTCTTCCCCCCAATTCCACCACTAGCATCTCAAAGATGCAATTTATTTTTGATGACTTCTTGAATCCGAGGGTTATGTAGAATTTAATTGAAAACCTTTTTTATTACGTAATGTTGAAATATTTATCTATGTTATCTCTAGTAACATTCAAACATGGACTATTGGTTAGCAATATAATCCTCTTACGTTCGCCATACCATGTGGAATCTACACTCGTCACTATATTGTGTGGTTCTACAATCTAATCCTCTTACTATGGTTCTGATATAGTTAACACACTCATGAACTATATTTGAGCAACCTTATAACCAGTAGGACAGTAAATTACCCTGATTTCATTGAAATGAACATTAGATTCTGAAAAGGTTCATAATGGTACATAAAATTAAATTATCTCAAATCAAATATCAATACTGATACTTTCTTCAAAATCGTTGACAGTACTACATATTTTTGGGATACCGAGTCAGCTCTATTGAATTCAAACAATAGCTCAACGGATGAGATTGATTCCTAATCTACAGTCGTAACTCAAAGTGTGCTAGATTAGCGTTCACTTCTGTATTTAGTCAGTTAGTTACAACGTAGAACCTCGTACGTACGTGCATCAGTTCAAGTCGCCATACCACAGCATAGAAACGCAGTTGTCGGTTCAAATCCCATAGTAGTATAGGTGGTAGATGTATTAGCAATAATCAAGAAGAGGAAAGATCGAATATACCATTCAAGTTGTATAACCCAAAGGAATCGATTAAAAAAGGAGAAAAAACGGTCATGAGGAATTCAAAAAAACAAGATTTGAGGGAACACAAAAAATGGATGCACCTACGCCAATGTAGACGGTTTTGAGTGATGTTATTCAGGGTCTCTAGCCATCGACTATTATCGTTTCGCGGGCCCCAACCAGGTAGTCTACATATACTAATATTACTTGGTCCACTTGTCAGTGACTTCATGGATTTGTACCAAGATTTGCTTTGGCCACACCTAGCTTTCTTCCAACCTGTTCCTACATCACAAAACATAGCTCGACGAGGCAGTCGGTGGTTGTTCATTCGTAACACATGTCCCAACCACCTCAACTGATGAAGTTTCACTACTTCATCAATTGATCTTCCATCCTTACCTAGTACCCCTGTCCTAACGACAGCACTGCTCACTCAATTGTCCCAGTATAAACGAGCAATGCTTCAGAGACACCTATGATCAAAAACCGGTAACGTACGAAAATCCCGTACTCTGACTGGCTATGTTTCACACTTCTTTGGACCTGTGAACCTTTCGCAAGTTGACAAAAGCCAAACGAACCTTCTGTAGCTGTGCTGAGATTCTGTCAGTCATCAGGCCATCAGCACTGATGAGACTACCAAGATAATTGAAGCGGTCAACACGCTCGACTAGTTCACTCCCTATCACTAGTTCAGGTACCGATGCAACCCATTCTTGAAGCAACATTCTGCATTTCGAGGGGGAGAATCGCATCTCGAACATGCTTGCATTGTTGCTTATGGTAGTCGGAAGACTGCATTTTGTTAGCGTCTTCACCTAGTAGAACTAAGTCATCGGCATATTCTAAGTCAACAAGCCAGTCTCCTGGTAGAAGGTCCACTCCTTAAAAGTCAGACGAAGATAATGTTACTCTATGATAAAACTAAACAAGAATGGAGAAAGTGGATATCTCTGAAGAACACCACTTGGAGTAATCAGTTTCGATGACAGTTCGCCGTAAGCTCTAACTCCACCTGTAGTGCTTGAGCAGAGAGCTTGTATAAGGTTATTGTACTTCTCTGGTACATCTTTTTATGACACACTGCCATAGAACCTTACGATCAACAGAGTGAAAACGGCCTAAAGGTTCAGGAAGACCGTAATTGTCGGACACCTAAATATGTATCTGTGTTCTACGACCTGTCGTAGTGTGAAGATGTGGTCTATGCAGTCACGTCCCGGTTTGAAACCAGCCTGCTCTTCATGAGCTCTAGTCAGGTATCAAAGTATTATGGAGGCTAACAGTTTAGAAACTACATTAGTTAGACTGATTCCTCTGAGACTGTCACAAGAGGACTTTTGTCGTTTCTTATAAATTGGGATAGTCAGGGATTGAGACCACTCGGATGGGAATACTCCCGGTCCCCGAATTCTTCCTAAGATCTGTCAGTCTAACTGCCAAAACTGGACCACCATCCTTAGAAGTCTCAGGAGTTAGCCTCTATATTTAACATATATATATATATAAGACCTATGTATTTATTCTTGTCATTTTTAGGAAAACTACTCAGACAGTCATCAATTCTCCTAAACCTGCAGTAGAAAACTGTTCAACAGAATCATTACCCCTGGGGTCATGTTTGTTCTGTGACCGCCACATATCACTGAATTCTGTGTCAAACGCGTCACTCGATGATACCGAAAAAACGGACTTAGCCAAGCGTGTCCTAAATCACATGTTTGATGTGCACAAATTTAGCGTCCCATTTCCAGAAAGACTAACTGATCCTGCTGGTTTGTTAATTGAATTAGGACGTATTGTGGGGGAGGAACGTTGTTGCTTGGCCTGTGGTCGTCAATTTTACGGTAGCTGTGTAGAAGGATCAGATAATACTCGGATCTCCCTATCAGCTGTTCGCAATCACATGCTAGACAAACCTGGTCACAAACAAATATGGATGGGTGTCGAAGATCCCGTCCAAGTAGCATTATTGGTAGCTGAAGCCGAAGAAGAGTCCAATAGCGATTGCGAAGTAAATTATCCCAAAGCTGCACTTGCAGGTGGTGAGCTGTTTAGCCAGTTTTACGATCAATCAGTCGTCGCACCACCTTTCTTACTTGTAAGTTATTTTTACCAATAACTAGTAAATTGATATGGAGGCATAATTACTCTTAAGATATCTAGGAACTGACTCGTAGTAACTAAAACTATTAAACCTACTTGTTTCCAGTTGTGTGTCAATCCCATATATGGGTTGTTTTTTAGCATAGTTAGCTCTTTTAACTTCTCTATTTTGAAATAGTAGTAAGCTGACTGTTTGAAATAAACATTCATCTACTTATTTATTACAACAAAAATTTCGTTGTACAATATTACACTAGAAATGTGCTCATTATTTTATTTGAACACATCAATATTGGTACATGGTGGCTCCAAAATATATATGTGCAACATAACAAAAATGAGGTTTTGAAAAGGCAGAGAAAAGAAATCGGTATTATTTAAAAAGGAAGAATAAAAATTAGTGTATGACAGTGAAATAATAATCATTGTGGGAGAAACAGTTCACTTCGGAAAAACGACCAGTAGCTTTTCTCACTTGAATGAATGGTATAAAAACCATGGTAAGATCATCTCTATCTTTTATTCTGAGCCATGTCTGACAGCTTGTGTAGTCAGTGGATTTCACTATCTCTAGGGCCCGAACCAGGAAGTCGTAAAGGATCGAATATACCAGTCCTGTACAGCTTTCCTACTACGACACTGTCATACGCTGACCACCTCTGCTTTTTCTAACACTTCCTAGTGTTAGTAATTAATACGCGATGTGGAATTCCCTGAGATGACATTCTTAGTACATGTTCGAGTCAGTGGAGTTGGTGTTTCAGGATGCTGACATCAACTAAATTATCGTCTCTGTTCCTGAACCCACAGCTGAACCGCCGCATTACCAACGTGGTGTTGCTTCTGAATGTCGGCAATTCCTGGGAGGCAAGGATGATCAAACACAGAATTTTTTAACATCCTCAAATCAGAGACACTAAGTTTCACAATCGTGGAGAAAAACTGTTCACACTGACGTGTTGTATTCCTGGCATTTTACAACCAACACGAAGACGCCAAAGATTATCTGAATATCATTGTGTTAATCGATCTCGTCACTCAAGTCACCACCAGCATATACGTAGCTAGCTATACACATAAACCTTTAGACTTTTTGTCTGCTCACTACTGAAAAACAGGTTCAAGGTCCTGTCGGTGCAAAGCACATGCCATACATACGAACACTGATTGTCAACTGATTAAGTGTGGATTGTATGGCTTGGGTACCATCGCGCAATAAGACAATATCATCCACAAACTTAAGGTCAAGAAGTCCTTATGCAGATAACAGACTCACACCACCATTACATACATCCGTCAGAGCTGTTTCCGGCAACCGTGCCCAACACCTTTGCTTTGCTGAAAAAATGGAGAGGTGGTTTTATTCTCTCAGTTTGCCTTCGAGATATCGACAAACCCTGCCGGCGTCTTGGATGAGTTTAGAAAACCTCCAGTGATTATCAGATGCAATGGTTATCAGTCACAACTGAAGCTACAACCAGCTTACTGACATCGGTTCGTTTAGGACAATCCATTTGTTGGCCTGTGAAATGTAGGATAAGATTAGCGCAAACAAAAGCACTAGAGTCCATCTGAGGTTCCAAATGGGGTGGCATTCTAAAACAGAACCGCGGCAGCAGTAGCCGGTCGCATTGTGATCAATCTGAGTCCAGGTTTAGGATGCAGAGGGGGACGCAAGATAGTACGTCGGTGATGACTGTGTTGATAGTTAGCGCTAACCGGAAACAGGTTATAGTCTGAGTAGAGCTTCAGCAGACAGTCGCCGTTATCTAACCTGCGGCCAACAAGTCACCCAGATGACTCTCCTCTGTGTCCAGACACCCGACTTACACCTTCGAATCTCTAGCTGTTACTACAATATCTGTCGAACGCACTTTTTTGAGATCACTTAACTGTTGGTAGAACTCATTATTGATTGGATCTGAGTTGCTGCCCGTCGAGGTGCAATTGAAGATAATGACATCGATTTCTCTTGATTTTGGTGAAGATTTCTAATATAACAGTACATAATCTGCTTTTAATGGAAACCGATTAGTGTCGCCTCAACTCTAGCGTTTAGTGCAATATCAACACCAGCATAAATAGATAAGAATACCACAGGGTCATTGGATATACGCACGTGAAACAAGCTTTTCGAGGCGATATTTGGGTGACGGGTTTTTAGTACTTCTCTAATCCTTGATACGGGGGCTTCGGATAGACAATAGATATCAATGCTCAGACTACCTAATGATAATATTAATTCAATGTTATATGTTTCGTACAATATGGAATTCTAAAGAAAGCTAGCCCCTATCTATTGTCCGGTTAGCGTTAGTGTTCGAACATTGGGGGCCAGTTTGAATGCGCTAGTTATTTAATGTGACATGAAAGCGTGAACAGTTACCAAGATCACTTCTGTGACGTTCTTATGAGTATGAATTCACATATCCAGAAGAAAAAGGCAAATCAGTTCGTTTTTTGTTTAATGGTAATCAAATGAAACTACTTTCGAAACGTCAATTCACATAAGTACCCTTTTTCCATATTCTTTGCAGAGACAGGTTTTCAGTTGTTACACAAATTTATTGCAAGATTATCGTTTATAATTAATACTGTCAATTCACCACCACTCATTGATTTTGTGTAATATAACTGTCGTTTCTGATCACTACTTTTGTTTATTGCCTTCTAGTCAGATGATGAAGATGTTTATGAAGTACGGTTACCATCTGGTACTGTTCTAGGGCATCGGAAACTGAAAACAATTTATAAACAACACTTGGCTGCCACGGACGGAGCTAAATTAACGAACTGTGATAATGGACAAAAGAGCCTCTCAATACTACGTCCAGACTTTAAAATGCTGAAGAGATCTAACACTGATTCTGAAAGGCATTCAAACGAACAAAGAAAGTATTGGGATTTAGTAACTGGTGTTCAGGGCAATTTGCACAACCGCCTTCATCTACGTAGACAGTATTAGATATTTGAGAATTCAATAAATTGCTAAAAAAAATTAATTTTTATAATCTAAAATGGTTTTTGTTCCATTTCTACTGATTTATGGTTTTGTATGGGACATTCAGTATAGGCTCACGCATAAACTAGAGTTTTATTTATAGTGTTTTTGGGAGCGCCTTCACCTGAAAGAGAATCTTGAAGTCTAACATGACCCATCAATTGCTTAAAATGTAACCTATTGTGTTTACGATAAATGTAATACTTGATTGTAAAATATTAGGAAATATCGTCATGATACGGCTATAGTAATGCTAATTTGTTATAAAAAATTGCGAATCAATGTTTTCACCATGTTTAAACTATCTTGATTGTTACATAAGCGGTCTGTGGAACCCTTGTAATTACAATAAATAATTTTTTAACCGAAAACACAATCGGTATGCTGATATCGTCGATGAAATGTAAAACTTCTAGGACCATACAATACATCTTCCTAATTTATAAAGTTGATAATGCAAACAATGTCAAGAGTTGTACCTAATAGGAACAAAGTTCGCATTCTCTCAGTTTGCCTGTTTATTCAGTCTACTACGCAATATGGTTAGCAAACAGTGATACTCGGGAAGTTCTGCGAATTCGATAGAATTTAATAGCATACAACGATGAGAACTGAAAACATCGAAATTCGAACCATGGAATAATCACAAGTAGTACTGAAGCTCTTAGTGTCCAGGGATTGAAATAGTCATTCGCTACGTGAGGGCTTGCCTACTTATAGGCTTACAACTCTACTTACACCGTACCATGATTTCGAAGCTATCTGCACAGATTCTTAACGAACCTAATTGGAAATTCTTCTGTTGTAAATTACTAGTGTGCTTCTCTACCCAGCGTACTGCCTCCATGACAGTCAAATATTGTTTGGCACATGCACATGCCGCCTATCGACTTCAAAGATATCCGCAATGTGCAGTATGCTTCGAGTTGTTATTATTTTTTGGAACCCATACTTTCATTTGTATTGGTTTGGATGTTCTCGATGATCTTTACAAACGCAACTGGCCAGTCTCCGTTGTGAATTTATTTGACGTTGAGTCACAGGCAGTATAAGCAGTTCAGTGGTGGCTAAAGGTGGATCAGAGGATGTGAGTCCCGTCTTGTTTAGGGATCCTCAGCCTGGTGCATTTACATCCCAGAGTTTACTGCGGGACTCGAACCCGTCCGCCTCAGACGACATCGCGTTATTCACTTCAATCCAGATAGTAACTGACTTGTGCAATAGGGAAAACTTTAATTCGTTGCTATTGATTGTTTGAATCTCCTCATAGGCCATACTTTGCTACATATGCTACGCCCTGGTATACTTCTTAATTTAGAATAATCTCACCTCAATAATGAGAATTTGGTCATTTTTAACACCAAACGATCTATGCCGCTCCATTCAATCTCAAAGTTATTAATTGTTGTACAACATTGTAGGCTAATGTAATAACTACTAAGTAAGCAGATTTTTACTATCTTTCCAGGTAGCTTCATTATAAGCTTTGTATTACTAAATGTTAATTAGTGTTCCATCAAGCATCCGACAAAGCTGCTTACAATTAATGAAAGTAGTTATAACAAACAAACTACTCACGTTGTATACATTAGTCGACATAACTCAGCTATTCAGCAATGCCACTCAGGTGGTATTTACCAGTCTACTAACCTTGTCTGAAAATAACTTACATGCATGATACATGAAAGAGATTTACCTGCAATAAGTCAAAAGTTTATCACCACTACGTGAGCATTGGTATTAAATGTTCAGGATGACTTGACTGTAACACATTTCCGAGAATTCAAGCTAAAACTTCTGACTTAACTCGTCCAATTGAAAAGCATTCACTAGTGGCAATATTAGTCGATATTATTAATCAGAACTATAACGGAAGCTTCACAATCAAACCATTCAGTTTATAAAACACGATACCGCCAAAAGTTACAATTCCGTCATAATATATACTGATAGATACTCTGTTTGTTTCTAGTTGAAGTGCACGATAGTAACGCAGAATTTTAAGGTCTCTTACATAGTCAGGTCTTTGTGTAAACTGAATTATTTTCCCAAAGATATCAACTCCAGTTAATCGACTATAATACTTTTAGGCAATTTAAGTTATCGATATCTAAAGAAATAATCATGGAAAACCTCGGAGCTCATAGATCTTATTTCTCATCAATAGATGCGAAACCCTTTCAAACATAAAACAAAAAAGTCTTTCACTACGATACGGATCATTTGTTCTGCTCTTCTTACACTACTCCGTATAAACAAAATTTGTTCATACTGCATATCAACAATAATATAAACAAGACGAATAGGATATTGAGCATAAGGAATAATTTTTTTTTTAAAAAAAAAACAAAGAAAGAATAGAAGTAATAAGAAACGAGAACTTTTTCAACGGTTCAAATTGTGAAACACTGGAAATCACTACTAAATAACTAAAACACATTAGATATTTATTTATTTGTGTGCAACAAACCTATTACCATTCCCTTCTCCATCGATTGAAAACAATAATAATAATAATAATAACATGTGTTAAAAAACTTGAAGTAAAAAGAGAATATTAAATGAGCAAGATTTATCCATATTTATAAATATATATATATGTATATTATCTGAGAGCAAATAATGATGGATAGATTGATAACAAGAACGCACATGTTAAAAAAAAAAATTTGAATAACCCACTAAAGATAATATGAAACAATAAGAAACAAACAAATACTAACCAAAAAAAAAACAACTCATAACATAACAACAAAGAGCATATGGTGTTGTTGATATATATATGCATCTCTAAAAAAAGTAAGTAATTCAAACATAAGTTAAGTAGAAGGAAGAGGAAAGAAGCTTGAAGTTCTTATTACAAACAATTTCAAAGTAAGAATTTCTGATACACATAGCACAATTAGAAAATTCAATTCTCGCCTAAAAAAATTTTTTCTTTATATATTTATAACATACTAGCGAATAATAAAAGACAGAAAAAAAAACAACATCAGCGTTTATTACACACACACACAGCACAAATTGAATACAATGTTCATTGTTGATATCTCCTCTATGAGTGTGTGTGTGTGTTTTTATTTGTTGGATAAATGATAATAAATATATTAAACATTATGAAATTTGATAGAATCATTCACATGCAGTGGATAGTGGAGGGGGTCTGTGTGTGTGTGTTAAGAGAGAGAGAGAGAGGGATGTACGTATATTAGGCAACAAAAATATACACAATTTCAAACAAAATGCGCAAAGGAAGATCAATTGTAATAGAAAAAATTGTAAATTATGCACAAAATTAACAAATATATTTTTCGTTTGTTTAATAGATTGATTTTGAATAAACATGAGAATAGTTGTTGAAAAGTTATCCTCTTTTTTTTCTGATTCATATTACTGCTACTAGTACTCATACTACTACTAGTACTACTGCTGATACAACACATTCAAGCAGAAATGCATTGTCAGACAAATCAAATTAGAGTTTTTTAGTGTGATTTTACATGAATTAATAACATACAAATAGTAAAATTAGTAATATACTGATTTCTGTGTATTTATTGTCAATGTGTCTGGGATGAGTAGCAGTAGCATTGATTATCTATCATCTCTCAATGCAAAATTCATAAAGAAACAATAATGGTAAAGAGAAAAAGTCAAATTATTTTTTTTGTTACCAGTTTATACCACTAAGAGTCATCATAGATACTTGGGGTGGCCCAGACCGGGTATTCGAAAAAAATACCTATAGATTAAATGAGAACAAGGCATTGTGTTAGATTGAAAATGTTGTGCCACTTTTTACAGAATATAAATTATAAACAGTTAAGATCTAATAACAGCGAAAAAGAATTGGGTATTGAATGCTTTTTTGAAGGATAATTAGTGTCCACTAACAGAAAGATCTAGTCTTGTTTCTTCAAGTAAGTACTTGTATATCTATCTAAATATAAAGTCTGTTTTACACAAACAATAACAACAAAACCTTCTAAAGTAGAGTGTATTTCACAGTTGAATATTTGCTAATAGTATTGACAGTTTCAGTTTTCTGCTGAATGTTTGTTGTCAGCCACCTGTTCAATTAGTAGTTTGAAACGCATCGGTTCTGTTATCAATGATTAATTTAGTACTACTATAAATAAATTTACTTAACAAAAACCGTTTCACTCTTTTTTTAAAAGTTCCCATAATAATTAAAATTCAGGAAACCTCTCAAGATTTTAATTAAACTATTTTTTAAAAGAATTAATCGGATGCCGATACATCAAAGACTACGAACTTGTTTCAGGGAAGTACTTTAGTAAATCTTAAATAGTTCTTTTACATTTACAAGGTCAACATCTTTTATATTGATTACATAGTTAAGAATAGCTTTTACGAAAAAAAATTTTCGAATTTATTGAAATATACTACTTAATTTCACTGGATTATATACTCTTTGAATAATGTCTTCAAAAACATTAATCTTTCCAATTGCTGCTCATACTTCTACTACCTCTACCATTCTATGGGATTTGAGTCGACAATCGAGTCTCTGTGTTAATCTGGTATGACAACTTGATCTGATGTACATATGTACCATGAGACGAAAGTCACCAATGGTTAGAGACCTTGAACAACATGGCTCAAAATCGTTTGCAATGGCGCAAGTGCATCCATTCGTTGTGCTCTCTCAAATCCTAATCTTCTGGATTCGTCAACACCTCTACCTTTGTCTTTCTAACCGTATCTCACTTAATTATACTTCTTGAATCATATCTTCAAACCCTAGTCTTCTTCATTACCATTAATACCTCTACTATCCCTATCACTTGGGATTTGATTTGATATTTGCGTCTCTGTGCTAATGTGGTATGGCAACCTGAACTTATGTACATATGTACGAAGTTCTACGTTGCAACTCTGACTGACTGACAACTGATGTACCAAGTACTGACCGACTGACTTAGCTATTAAATGACATCTATTACAAACATAGAGTTACTTTGTTGGAATATCTATTTGAATAGAAAACTATGCGTTCTTTCTGATTAGACTCTTTCAAATAAAAGAGAAAATTAACAATAAACCAACAAACCTTATCAGTACGTTCACATAAGAATTTGAATTTTTGTTCACGTTTATGCATAAATACACCATCTAAATGTCCAGTTTTAGCTGATCTCACTTCAATAGCTTTTAAACCCCAACCAAGTAATTGACCGGTAGATATATAAGCTACACAAGTTGGAACTTCACCCCATTGAATAACAATATTTTTTGTTAATTTTCCATTAGTATCTACATAGACACCTTCAGCTAAAAAAAAGAAAGGAAAAAGATTTATTTTAAAGAAACAAGTTGTACAATAGGGGTATTTGGCATCAAGAAAATAGATTATTTACGTATATATGTAATTAAAATTTAGTTATATTATTTTGAAGTGAAATTATCACGTCAATAAAAACATAATAACATATCAACAAGAGTTTCATTTCTAATGTAGGCATTATTGTTAATGATGGTTACTGTCATCGATAAACAGTTCAGCAACCATTGAACAACATGAAAAGTTCTAACGTTCGCATACAAAAGGTTTAAGTGTTTATAGTGAGGCGTCATGGTAAGGAATGTAGAACTAAAAAACAATGGTGAAAGTTATTTCATTGTACTATATAAAGTTACAAAAACAATTCGATGACTTCCAGTGTCGTTTGTGTACGTTTCAGTGGAGATGCCGGTACCTTATGGGGTACAGATACGTAAGACTGACAAATCCCATATAATTTGTTTGGATTTAATCTATAAACACTAAAAATTCATTACTATTGTTACAATGTACTCTGAACTAATAAATCGACAGTTATACATAACATATAAAACTTACTGTCATAGCATAAAAGTAATTGCATGCCATTTGTTTCAGGAAGTACTACTATACAATGAGGAGTAATATGTGAATTAATCTGAAAACGAGACAAGGGAAAAGTAAAAACAAAGTGTAATTTAAGAATGATACTTTATAAAGGGAAACAACCTCTGTCCTACAAAAAATCTTGGACAAATGCGGTAGACTAATGAACAAGTTTACATCCTACTATGTTCTTGATCACACGATAAACCTTTAAGTGATAATTAAACAAGTAAGGATGCCATGATGATATTTTATTGTCCTGCTGAGCTAGCTTCCGAAAATCAGGTGATATTGGAGTGCTGTCAAGTTAATGTGCAATACACACGGAAATAATTTGATACTTTTTTTTACAAAGTAATTCGGAGTGGTAAGGTAGTACATTTTTTCTTGCTAATGATAATTTTTAATGAGATACATCTATTCCCACTCACCAGATTAAAAAACTAACTATATCCAAAAATTAAATTTAAATGTACTGGTTATAATATTTATGTATATAGGGAATCCAGGAGACATTCAACAGATGTTTGCATCTTCATCTGGAGCATAAATTTACAGTACATGAAGGTGACTCACACATTTATATAATATACAAACTATATATATATATATATATATATATATATATATATATATATATACAAACTGTATTAAACGATATCCTACCAACGAAGGCATATATAAGTCGAATACTATGTTCGAATCCAAGTCAATAGCATGAAAACCATTCGATGAACCATATACAACTTTTAAACGGGTATCTTCTTCAACGGTCAAATCCACTAATAATGGTCGATGTTTGAGTCCAGAGAATCTCTGATGAGAAATAAAGAAGAATAGAAAAAGGAAATACAAATTGAACAGAGTCTTATAAAATAAAATCTCAACTTTTATAATAACTCTATAGATAAAATATCTAATTTAATCTTGTTCAACTAATGATAATGATATGAAATGGAATGTTCATGAATGCAATCGACTGGAAAGTAACACACCCAGTGAAGTAAACTGGTAAAACGGTCTTGAAGTCTGATTATTATGATAGTGACATAGTTCAATTAGTTAATTATCTACAGTGGACAGTCAAAAAATTGCTTTAAGTATTAAGGAACATTCAGCATTGTCATATCACTCGCGGATTTGATTCCTTTTTTTTATCATAACCTTGTCATGGTATCAGATTGTTTATGAGAAAAAATACAGCAAGTATTCATTCAAGACGAGAAAATAACACGGAAAATTGGGTTAGTAATATTGTTTGTTAATTAAAACAGTCAGGTTTGAAGAGATTATAGAATGTTCAAACTTTAGATAATGAACTGATCTTTGCTGAACCACTACTGAAAGTCAGATATAACTAGATAACTTTTTCATTCTAGCATGAGACTCCTCAAATGTGCTTATTCAAGACCCAATGAGGAGTCAAACTCGAGGCTTTTGAACTCACATGCGAAAGTTGAACCTTTGGACCAATGATCAGCCATTCAATCGATTCACGGTATTGTGAGAACATCTTTGGTTGTCTGGGCACTAGATAACTGTCTCATATCAGATAACATTGAATTCCACTAGTCACAGCTTCTCATTAGAACTCCAAAAGTTATATCTTGGAGCAAGTCCCTAGTGAAGACATGATTATTATTAGCAGAGGGTTTGTAAGAGATTGTAGAATTTGTATAATTTCAATTTATTATATTCTCTCTTGTGAGAGAGAACAATCCAGATTCCAGTGGGGGAGGAAATCAGGAAGAAGCGGTGGAAGTGGATAGGACACACACTGCGAAAAGCACCCAACTGCCTTACAAGACAAGCCCTCACCTGGAACCCTCAAAGTAAAAGGAAAAGAGAAAGGCCAAGGAACACATTACGCCGAGAAATAGAGAAAGATATGAGAAGAATGAACAAAAATTGGACAAAAGTGGAAAGGGAAGCCCAGGACACTGATCAGCAGCCTATGCTCCATTGGGGGTTATAGGCGTAAGTAAGTAAATAAAGTATATTCTTTCTACCATATGTTTACGCTCTTGATCATTATGAGGCAAAAAAACAAACTAGTGAAAGCTGAGTACCAATCAGTCTCCCATCTTAATCCAGAAGTTTTTTTGACATTAGACAATTTAAAATTCATGATATTTATGTTTTATAATAGTATTGCTTGCATATCGAACAAACAAACAGCCTGCGATCCCCAGCCAATAAAAATATTTGTACGTATACGAAATATATAACTGACCAATCAACTAAAATACCATATACAATATGCTGCAAATACACTTTTTTTAGAAAAATAACTGACAAAGGAATAAAAAAAAGTTTTGTAGGACATTTAGAAAAAAAAACAATAAACAAGATGAAAATATAAGTGCATTTTCACCGGTAAATTTTTACTAATCATAATGTTTTATTCACTAAAGAACTGTATAAAAAAGAATATTATCTCATAAAAAAAATCAAAAATACTAAATACAATTTGTTAATTCTAATCAAAACTTACTTTAAAAGCCATGAATTTATGATAAGGACGAGGAGCCCAAGCATAAATCTCTACAGAATCTCTTAATGCGATGACAAGAAATTTAATTTTCTCATATTTTACTAAAAAAAAACAGACAAACAAACCGAAAGGTGTGAAAATAAAAAAGATGGATTATAAAATGTCACTTGATCCAAACTATTGAATGATTGTAAGTTGATAATAAAACAGCTGCTTTCGAATTCTTTCCAGATAAATAATGAATTCTCACAGATTTATTCTGTCGATATTACATTTAAGAACTGACACCTCAATTGCTTTAAATAAGTAGCATCAAAAGATACACCTAAAAAGCCACCTCAATGCTCACGATTTACGACTGACCGACAAGTTCTAGAAATGAATTCATACAATTAACGGACACTCAAAAAAAAATAGATTACACATTAGGTTATCGCCATATCTGACAGAACTGAATCGTATATTATTCATAAAGCTGATATTTGAATCGAAATACCATTTTTTATATCCTTAACACATAAGATACAATGAGTCAGTCAAAAATCGCCAGATAAGAAAGCCACGTTGTCCTAATCAGAAATCCCCTAATGACAATACATATTATTGATCAAGAAAAGGTTTTAATTTCTAAAGCGTACAAACATACATGTGTTTATGTATGTGAATCAGTTTAGCCCAATAAGCCCTCTCCTTTCTTTTTAGTCTTCTCACTCAGTAGTCGGATGGAGTCTTGTATATATTAAGTTAAGAATGTTCAGATCAGTCTCGGATACCCCATATCCTGATAATATACATCAACCACTTCCAAAAGTTTTACATCATGTTTTGGACCGTTTTGTATGACAATTAAAGCCATGTCATTTAACTAAACAGCGTATTTAATATCATACAGACGAAAAACATTCACTATACGAAACATACGGAACAATTATGTGTATAAAACTAACGAGTCAGTAACATTTCAGTTTTTATAATACATTACCTAAAAAGTGATTAGATCTTCAACAGATCTCTTTTAAAAATGCAGCATAGTTTCGTACTTATTCAAAATTATTAACAGATTGCATAAAACTGATATAAGCTTTTCTAAATAATCTGAGATATCCGCCACTGTACCCCGTCTATCGTGAAATGACCAATTTAAACATGTCGATTAGAATAATAACATCCAGTGAATAACTTAGAAAATTTATACACGAAAATGGAACAGTGAGAATTAGACTTACCAATTTTAAAATGTACAGCGCCTTGCAAATTTTCACCGACATTAACCCATCCATTTTTCTTGTCACACTTGTTGAAAAAAGAATGCAACATCACAAATCAATTAGGTCATGCCAATATTGAATAATATTGAACAAAAATTCACAAGTTAATCTACAGTTCAGTTGACACACTTCGTCATCCTTCCGAAAATTCTAGTTCAAATCCGAAAGGTGCGCTACATCTCACTTATTTCGAGAAAGAATTCCATAACTACAGATTATAGTTGCTGGTATGGCTCACAGAAGCCTTCAGAGGCTCCCAAGAAGCCAAAGCGCTTCAGTCCAATCACAGCTCAATAGAATTTCTAGAAAGTTGATGTGGCATAAGATGACTGGATGATGATCAGGTAACATCGCTAATCGAGAAATGGATTATTTTCATAATGTTTTCGCTCTATATGGAAAAGTAAAAATGCACATATTTTCTACGTACATTATGACACCTACTGGAGTAGAGGTTTCTTCTGTTTTGCTTTGTAACCTGAAAGTCCTGGTGTCGAAGGTTACATTGTGTATTAGCCTTTCTAGTGGCAAAGTTAATAATAGAAAGTTACATTTTCTATCTTAACCGACTGGTACCACAAAAAAATTTAACATTTTGTATGATATATTTTGGTGCGAACAATTAGCGAATTGGAAGGTTCTTGATTTACTGTTTCCAAATTATGTATAGTTGAAGAGTCCTTCAAAATTAAACATGAACGTAGTTGAAAAATGAATAGTTGAATGATATTCAGGACTAAAAGCTTAGAAAACGCGATAGGGAATGACTACATCTATATCATGATGACCGACTTTAAGTCATTATCTGAAACCATTTTGCAGGCAATAATAAGTTTCTAACGTTTAATAAAGCTCAGAACAATGGTCAATGACTAAAAGTGATCCTTCTCTAGAAGCTGCCTCTACCTACTGCCCCACGTTAATCAGAATATAAAAATGACATATTGACGCTATAGAAGAAAAACATATTCAAAGAACAATAACACATTACTTACTCCTTCAGTTTTCATAATTTTACTACGAAGCCAAGATAAATAGTACACGCGTACACGATTTTTGCGTCCAGATATAGTAACTAAAATATTCTGGCCTTCTAAAACATCCATTCTTGAAAATCTTCGTCTTGTAATTAAAGAATAAACTATGACATTTTCATTGGGAAAAATAAAATTAAAAAAAGGATGGATTAGTGAGATGAACAGAGGGGTTTACATATCGTCTTATTTACCAAAAAATAGACTGTTCAAGAATCTCAAGTCGAATGGTAGTCAATAAACATGGTGAACGTATTTCCTTCGAAATTTGAAATTTAGTATTTTATGTGGGTCATTCACAAAGCGAAAACAGGTGTATTCTTGGCTGTCTTTTTACACATGTCTTCTAATCTTTGAAACACTCTGGCCGTGCCACGCATCCCGATTTGAAACTCTTAGCTTTAGTAGGAACTTTAGGGCGGCACTCCATTGAATACCCAGTGAACACCACTTATAAGCTTCATTGTGAGTAGCACATGCTACAGTACTAAAAAAGATTAGGCATAGCTTCATAGTCAATAAGAAGTACAGATAATGAGGTACGCATTTTTATGACTCAATTAAAATCTCCTATGCAATGAGCTACACACTCAGCAATAGCAAAAGAACATTTGGGAAAATACGAAAATAGAATTCAGATACCCGTAATTATATACACATATGTCATCTACTATCCAATAAATAATGAAGACTTTATCAATATGCACACGATAATATCTATGATCTGTATTCACAGACTACACTTGATGATCAATTAAAACACATTCTTGTTATTTTTGAATTTGTCTTAACCATGTGAAAAATTACTCCCAAGATTTTATTTTAATTCGATAAAAAAGATGCTCAAATAATGAATCTATTTTGAACTTAAAAACAAAGCTGCTTGATGATACTACAACACGAGCACATATTTCATACTCTTCTTATTAACCTTCACACGAATGGAACTCCCACGAGGATGAACTGAGGAGAGAAAATATCGCATTTAAACTGAATAAAACTGACATAGAAATGCTCATAGTTTACACCATTGATTGATTTTATTCAGGCAACAAGTGAAAACTAAAACGAATTGGACAGCTATTTCGTTATCGTATGGTTGGGTTTGCTTAGTGGTGTGCATTACACAGTTTTTATTCCTGATCGCGCAATATAATAATTATAAACGCACATGTTCAATAGAATTGAACCAAATGCATGGATAATCTGATTTGGTAGCCGAAGTATAATTATACAGTGTGATTTACTGGTTACCTATTGAATGGTTTGAATCTAAAACTTTATTTATTAAAGAAATTTGTTAACACTTGAGATTTAAATGTATTCAGTTAAATACTGCAATCATTGATAAGTAATTCTAGTTGATTAATCTTAGCAGCCAGAAAAATAATTGACACTGAATTAAATCGTTAAAATCACTAAATGAATAGAGTAAAAGTTTTGTAGACTGAACACAAAACTCATCACAAATGAGTTGGAGTACTATTCCCTTTGCTTGGTTACCAATTCATTAACACAATTCGTAACTAAACACATTTCAAAAGGAATGAGTTAATGTACTAAGTTATTGAAATCACGAACCGATATAAATAAAATAATCACTACAAACTATGAGGCACAGGTTTGAAATGATCTAAAACTAAAGCTTTCATCAACAATGGGGTCATGCATGTTCGCTATTGAGTCTCATACTAAAACAAAACAGATGTCTAACGCTTCCTAGTTTTCATGTGGTCGGCTAAATCAGGTCAGTTTCTGATCAACTCCGAAATCCCTCCTCACCACTCCCGAATACTGATACATATACAACGCAAACTGAAGAAAATTCATTGACATATCAATTAAACAACGTTAAAAACAGAACTGTTAGAAAAATCTAATAGACAAAGAATTTCGAAGCAAAGATATCGTAAACTGAAAAAGAATTATTTGATATGGACACGAACTGAATGATACATAGATGTTACTTAATAGTAGAATTGTTTCATCAATTAAAATTCATTCATTCAACATTACGTTGACAGTTCATTTTATGTGAAAATAGTTGAAGATATTTCTCAAATAATAACAATTATTTTTTGAGTAAAATGTAAAAAAAAGTAAAATTTATTATTTAAAACAATATTGTAACACAAATCATCCTCTGTGTATTTCTCTGTCTGCATATGGCTAAATATAAATATGATTCACATGTGATTGTCTAAATTTTTGATCAAAAACGAATATATTTCATATTGAATTATACTTCTTGAATAATTTCTTCAAATCCTAATCTTCTCCATTACCAGCAATACTTCTACTATCTCTACCACTATGGGATTTCAATTGACAATAACGTCTCTGTGCTAATATGGTATGGCAACCTGATCTGATGTACTTACGTACGAAGTTCTGCCTTATATTTGTCTGTCTGTCTGTCTATCTGTCTTATCCACAATATACAATGCAATGATTATTTTAACTTGTTTGCAATATTAAAAACAAACTGATAAAGTTTTGAATTGAATTTAACAAATTCCACACAATCATACTGTAATTATTGTATCATATTTGTCAATTCATTTGTGACAAACTTTTGAATATGACAAACCATTGATTTTTAAAATTTATCTTAAATAAAGCAACTCAATTTGAATGGGTTAGAATCCTGCGAAGTGCAGGAGTCGTGGATGCGCACTGCTGAGGAGTCCCATACCACGACGAAACCGCCTTCCAGTGCTTCCAGGTTTCTAATCGTGGTCTAACATTGATCGATTCATGGTTTCAATAATGTGTAACTTAACAATCATCACAACCCCGTAATGCACATTGAGAATTGAACAATTTTAAAAGAAAAAATAATAGAATAACTTATCATTATATGATTACATAATTTTCTATGAATGAATTCACTGGACTTACCACGACCTTCACCACTACGATCCAATAAAGAAAGACCAGTTTCCAGACCAATTAATAAATTTACACCCCACATTGATGCACATAAAATTTCTGAATTGAAACGTTTTTTATAAACTTGTATTTCCGGTGTATCATTACCGGTTAAATTAACATTTGTTGTTGATATAGAACTAGCACCACTACTACTACTAGTAACACATGTAGGCAATAAATGTGAACCAGCAGTAATCACTGTACTAGTAGTAGATGTAGTTATAATTGATGGTAAATTGAAATTTAATAAATTAGCACTTAATGGATTAGGTAAACCGATTGATTTGATTAAACCACTACTACTACTACTACTACTAGTGTTAGATGATGGCGGCAGATTAGAGTTTGAATGTGAAAGTTGTACATCGAACTAGAAATTCAAAACAAAAAGGCAAAGAAAAACGATTATTTTTTTAACAAAAAAAAGGAGTAAATGACAAGAATTATCGAAAAAAAAGCACTGATTCAACAAAATGACAATGCTACACGAATTACAAATGAAAGATCATACAATACACGATTATGAATTACATAAATCCAATGAGACATAGATAATCAACATTGAAAGGCAAACACATTAATGAGTTATATATTTGTATGCATTAACAACCATTGCAATACAATAAGAATCCAAACTGTCACACCTGAATAAAGTTGAATCCCTTAACAAAAAGCCGTTTGATCAAATCTTATAAGCATTGCATGATCGTAAAAATCAATCACATAAGCATGTACAGATATCCTAAAGAGATGAAGTGTGAGAGAACAGGGAATTTATTCTGGAAGCCTAATTTCAGTGTTAAACAAGTTAAACTGAGTTCAGCTAATTTATAGAGGTCGGTTAGCATTAGAAACAATCTGACATACATGACATAGGTCACTATTATCCAGTGATCGATTAATTGTAGATCAGTTCATAATTTGTCGTTTGATTAAATTATCCTTGTGTCACCAAAATGACTATATATGCAATCAGTAGATGAAAATATGTACATGTATGGAAACTTCATCAGTTGAGGTGGTTGAGACATGTGTTGCGTATGCCTAACCACCGACTGCCTCGTCAAGCTATGTTCTGCGATGTAGGAATAGGTTGCAAGAAATTTAGGGGCGGTCAAACCAAAACACGGCACAAATCCACAAAGTCACTGACAACTGGACTTAGCCATATTGGTAGGTGTCGACTACCTGGTTGGGGTCCGCGAGACAATAGTAATCGATGGTTAGAGACCTTGAATGCCATGGCTCAAAACCGTTTGCAATGAAGCGGATGCATTCATTCTTTATGTTCTCTCAAATCCTAACTTTCAGAGTTCCTCATCACCTTTATCTTTTTAAGTTTATTTCACTAGATTATACTTCTTGAATAATATCGTCCAACACTAATCCCTCCGATTACTGCTAATCCTCCTACTACCTCTACTACTATGGGATTTGCATTGACAATTGCATATCTGTGCTAATGTGGTATGGCAACTTGAACTGATTTACGAACCTACGAAGTTCTATGTTGTTGTTGGTATGTACATGTAAATCGTACAAAGATGATTAGTTGTATTTGTTTGTTTAAAAAAACCCAACCTATAACCTTTTTCTTTTTTAGTCGATCGACTGGTAATTTCATTGAACGTACGTACATTATTTAGATGATATATTAATTATTATTTGTTCAGTTCAAGTCTTTACTAAAAGAATTTGAAATCCTCATTTATGTGGTTATAGGATTTGTATCTCCATTAATTGTCGTTCATTTTATGTTAATTATTAGTCGTTGTTCAAATTTGTTAAGTAATCAAAATGTGTGAATGCTTTTTAATCAATCAGAATAAAAACAACATTGTACATACCATAAAATAAACATCATAGAAAATATATTATCACGTGCTAAATTATTACATCTTACAGATCAAACATTGATCAGCTGAGATTTTTTAAAGGTTGAATTGACCCAGAGATTATAGGTCAGGGTTATAAATGATGAAACATTACTATAAGAACTACCAAGTGTTTATGGTTAATTGACAAATAGGTAATGATAACAAAAATCATCTTCAAATACAATGGTATCCATACAACTTGAGCTGTAACCGATATAATTGCATATGTTATGCATTAATTGATCAATTTTTATATTCTGAATCGATGCTACTTTGTATGTGCCTCCAATACAGTGTTTCTTATTGAAACGAAATTCTTAATAAAACGGTCGAATGTATCAATCAATGATCATGTGATCATGTTTAGCATAGTTTCGGATAAATAACATGAAAGTTAATTAAGAACTAATTATGGATTGAAAACGAATAATCACTAATGCTCATTAAAAAAAACAATACTAAAATACTATTATTTTGTTATTTTAAAAGGCTAAAAATAAAAAAAAGCACGATAAACTCAAGTACCTGGTTTTTCGATTTTTGGCCTGAAACTCCTCTATGACCAAGATTACCATTTGGCTGGACTGACCAAACAGAACTAGGAAGTGCTTTATTTGAGTCTATAATTACTGCAGGCTGAGGGGAGATTTGTGGACTTGATTTCTGACCTATGCTGGATTGTCCTAAAGAAGGCTGATTGGTTGAAATACTTGTGCTTATCTCAGTTGGTTGATATGATGGCTTGTTAGATAAACCGCCTTGAACAGCAGAAGTACTACTGTCTGAAGAATGTGGTGGCGGTGATACAGTTTCGTGTGTTTTTGTACATCCTGAAGAATAGGGGGGAGAGAAATGCAATTAACAACAATTCATTCATAATATTCAATATATTTATAGCCATCCTGACCATTTCAGAAATCACCTACATTAGACAACACAAAAATTCAGTAGATAAACTAGGATGAACCTAACAGACGTACTATTTCAGACAAAGATATCTCATTAGTCTACAGATGTACATCGCGAGTTTGTTAATTTTGAATAGTACTATTTACTAACTTACAACTCATTAGTTTACTTGTTATGCTTTTTTACTCTAAGAATTTATGCTACTTCAGAGTAGTGGACAAATATTGGTATAACTGAATAGTTATTTCTGTATTCAGAACAGAAAATAAATATTGAACGTAGAGAAAAGTCATTTACTCTAGAATATCGATAATTTACTTGTATGTTCAATAAGTCCTTGTTTGTTTTGCAGTGACAATTTAATCATCATCATCATCAGCATCAACATTCAAAAAGAAAAAAAATGTCATAGAGATGTAATTCATTTATCAAGCACAAAGCTAGTGCATGTAACTTTCAGTTATACTTTAGTTAGATGAAGAGTAGTTATATCGATTGGAAATTCAGAGCTTCCACCTCTCTCCACAATAATAGTTTTTAAAAAAAAATCACTATCTTTATCAGCATCACTAGTATATTAAAGTTTATTATAGTGAATAGATTTTTTTTCTATTAAAAATAGATTTCATCAGAGTTAAACAAAATAAAAAAATCCTTATTTCTTTTTTTTTGAACATAAAAACACGATAAGTTTCCTCTCTCTATCTCTATCTAAATGAACACACAACACAATTATGTAATACTAGTTAATTTATCACTTTAAATTACAGTTACAATAACAACAAGGCAGCATACATTGATCATATATAATAGAATGAACGTGACAAATATTAATTTAAAAAAAAAATAATAATGTGGTGCGTGCTACTTATAAGTAGTATATGACGCGAGTGTAAACGTAATGTCTGGCAGCAGAAGATGGGGGAAGATCAAGAAAGGAAGAAGAGTGGGAACACAGTGGAATTTGTTTGAAACGCATGAATAGTAAAATGTCAGACAATGGATTGATGATGGATTAAAGATTTGCAAATTAACCGTTTACGATATGGTTTTCCTATTTTACTGAGTAACTCTGTAATTTTCGTTAAATACAATTCGGTTGCCCTCACCTGTGTTCTCGTTCACTACAATAATACTAACAGAAAATAAGAATCTCTTAAAAATGATTTATGAGTTCACAAGTCAATTATTATTGAACAAAATAGATCATCTCAACTTGATGACTATCATTATTATGATTGTATTATTGAAGATTGACTAAATCGATACGCGTAAATCTTATGTGATAATAGAATACGTCTTTTTTTAAAAAAAAATTAATTTACAATACATTGTAAACTATGGATTTGCAAACTAAACAAATTGTTGAACAGGTCTAGTCTAATGCATTCCATTTATTTTCTTATAAGGAAAAAACTAAGCCATCAAAAAGAAAACCCTATAACATGTTACCTTCTTTCTCATTTATAATTAATTTTGATGATGATGAATGTGGAACACCACCAATATGTGAGATATTTCGTGATGAAATTGTAACTTTCACTTTATCTGTACATGAAGGTAGATCAGTTGTAGTTGAATGACCATTTGAAACAATGTACTAAACAAAAAAACACAAAAACAAATAAAAGTATTCAAATGAATAAACATCTGTATGAATTGATTATTGAATAACAAGTAATGTTGTGTTGTCTATTCCCCTTACTAAATCTAATAGATTTAACTTTGAATAATATGGTGCTGAATGTTATCTGTTTGGAGACAACTATGTTTTTTTAACACCTGAAACTCATCACAGAGGCGTATTCTGAAACTTACAGGAGTCGATGTTCCCTATTATGATTTGAACCTGAGTAGTTTATATATTGAATTAATTGTGAAGTCAGTGACTTCCTACAGAAGCAAGATATTTCTAAATAAATTATTGAAATAAATCTATTTACATTGCAAACAATTTATTAGATATTTTGCATAGGATATAATTTCCTATTGCTAATATTCTAGATTGCAGTCGATCAATTTCTGATGACAAATGTGCATTTTGAACGGATTCACTCAACAATCCTTCAAAATCATAAATTTTAAGTACTGTTGATTTGAATCTAAGTATTAACAATGACACTAGGATAAAAGTACATTCAGATGACGAGTCTCAGTGTTTATTTAACCTAGATGTTAACCGTAATAAGACTTGATCGTATCTACGATTTGTTACATATGTGAACAGTTCAGAATAGAAACTAGTACAAATCTTACTGTAGTTTCCCGTTACATTCTTCTAAATATAATGAGAGGAGCTATCTTAACTGAATTAAGTTTCCCTGGTTTTATGTTTATCTGAATTATATTGTCTATCATATATTACTTCTATACATTTTTTCAACGTAACCATACTTATGTAGCGTAAAATTTTTTTTGGGAGGGGCCCAGTTATTACAGAATTCACGTGCATTAAATATACAAAACATAACACATCACATACACATTATTAATTTTTGTTTGTTACAATGAAATACTTATTGAGAAAAAAATCGATAAATTTTATCGCAAGGACAAACTACAATTATTAAATGGTCCATGTAAAAACCATGGAACACAATATTTAGTACGTTAGTTTTTCCAACTTTATGCAATTCAAACATTTCATAAAGACGAGTTGTTTAGAAAAAAGTAAGCATATTTTCTAAAGAGAAAATATTAACATTTGCATTGAACGAGATTATTCAACTAGATAATTCTTTTTAAATGATTGATTCTTTATCATGATAGCATTAAAATGATAAGCGTATAAATCAATTTGGAAAATAAGTGATATGATAATACTTGTGAAAAAAGAGTAGATGTATTGTGAAATCAAGTTTTTAAATTCATAATTCATTGAGTTCGATATTAGCGCATATTTTAAATAAAATTTAATATAAATTTTTTTGCTATGAAGTTAAAACAAATTACACAAAGATTTTGTTGAAGAAAGTAAGTATAAAGAATTGAGCAGACAGAATAGCATGTTAATATATTTTATTTCATTAGGTTTTCATCGAATGCTGACAATCGATAACAAATTGTAGAAAATCATTATTATTTTAAAATTTGTATACTGAAATTGAAAATGTATCCATCATGGTGAAGTAATGAGATTGAAATCGTCCGCAATTTAGCAAGATTCTTCTAGTTTATAAGTAGCTAAGCGGTGACAAACTGATTCTAACGTTTTTTTCTAATCAGCGTGCAACTTGTGGTAGAGTGAATTGTCCAGTGATAAAATACAACTCAAGCGGGATGTCCTGTTTATGAATCCTTTGTAAGTCATACATAAGCAAAAAACTAGATCCATAAGGCTTTACGTTATAGGCAGAGTCATTAGTAATGTGCTTTTTCAATAGCTTCCTCAATATGTTCATCATTCATATTACTGTTGAGTTAGTTGAGTCTTCATTGCATTTATGGAACTTGAATCTCAGATTTTCGTTGAGAATGGGATTCATTTGAGCTATATAATCGAATGTAGTCATTAATACAACACCTAAGTCTTTATCTGGCTGTGATATCATTAACTTATTCTTCTGTTTAAGGTTTTTTAACGCCTTTACGTATATTTGGACAGAATTTACGACTTTGTTGTGGAAGAAGGCAGTGGTATTAGGTATGTCCACTAGTTTGAATTTAAATCAACCGCTTTTTTCTTCATTCGTTGAATGCGAATTTCTTAAATGATTAAAATAAATTTCCGAATTGAACTCCAGTATCATTCCTGTTGGTACTTGTTTAGGGAACATGGAATTAAAACTTTAGAGACAAAGCTTTAGCTTCAATTTGATCCACCTTCACACTTGTTAACATATAGATGAGCTTCCCAGGATTTGTTGGAAAACCTTCGTACAAATGCTCCTTCAACAGTCTTCAATAAATTGGTGAGGAAATCCTTGCACATTTTACCATAAAGATCTTGAATAAAGTTGAAATCCTCTCATTTAAAGATTTCCATTCTGCAAGACAACGTTGACATCATTTGAACTTAACCAATTTTATTACTGTACAAAACTTTTTTATGCATCTAGCTTCAAATTGTTGATCGCGCTGACAAGAATGTGAAGTGAAATCCACATTTAAAATAATTGGCTTTCGCAGTTAGACATACACCTAAAGATATTACTGGAGACTATTAATATACTAAGCACCAACATATGATAAAACAAACTAAGAGTTATCAGTTTACACTGACAAAACTACTTGAATATGAATTGTTTATAAGTGGTGAATGAAGTGAATTGCTTAAAATTTCATTTTCTTATCCTAACGCTTATTCAAATTGTTGAATGTTTACTTTATTAGAGACCTAATTAGGTGAATTATATTAAAATATACCGGTCTTAATCACATTGCCAACAATACTCTTTGACTAACTGAATAAAATACAGGTTTTTACAGAGAGTTGAATATTTCCTACTACACGTTTAAGTAGACTATTAATGTCATTATCACTGCAAAATGAAGTCAAAAAAGCCTATTAACTAGTCCTCAAAGCGTCAAATATGACCTATTTCTATTAGGTCGAGTTCTCAAAACACAAATTCTTCCCCCCCCCCCCTTAGATGCTAAATAGTTGCAATCTCAAACACGCCAACAGTCAATCGTAGTTATATAAACACAATTTTAAAAGAACTTATCGATAAATTTACACTGGATCTTATGATGATCATTAGTTTTGTTAAAAAGAAAAACTTTGACGACGCATATTTACATATTTCCTAAATAGAGATCATTGTCAATTTTAAAATCTCTAATTAGAATGAACCAGTGAGTGAGCAGAGAAAATTTTAACTAGGTAACAACTCATCAAATGCTTATTTATTTAGATCAATCAATAACACAAGTCTAAGGAGACTGTCATTTATTTTAATTTAACAAATTAATTCAAATTACAAATGTATAGAAATAATTAACAATCAATAAATCTTTTAAAACAGGAGACACACACAGTAAACATAATGAAAAGAACGGCAGACATATAAGTGAGGCAGAACAAAAAAAAATAGACAACGATCACATGGTAACAATTGTAGTGAATGGTTAACAAAAATAATAATAATAATTATCATCATATTTATAATAATCACGCTTACTTTAACATTATTATTCCCAGACGGTGATGTCAAATTGGATTCAGATCGGCCAATTGTTCCAGCGGTTGATTCAATAATCGATGCTAAACTGTGTAAAGTTTCTTTGGCAAATTCATCGGATGGTCTAATGTACATATATATACATATATATATTGGTATATCGATGAAGTCGGCAATCGATGAAAATTGATGATGATGATGATGATGATGATGAATAAGACAAAATAGACAAAGCATTTTTGCCATTAAATATCAATAATTATTTGTCTTTAAAAAAAAAAACAACTGAACATACAAATAAACTACGTTTGAACCATTTGATTGTAATCATCAATTTAACTTATCGAGTAGTAAATTTAACAAAACAACAACAACAACAAACGTAATACATTTTAAGTTGATTTGAAAAGTGAATAGTTAAACACTATTGTTAATAACTTCATTACAATTCGGATAATTGTGCACTAAATGAGATTATGGAGGTTGGTTAGTGGAATGATTTCACTGATCACCAATTTAGTGAATAATCATTAAGAATATCATAATAATAGTGATAATAATGTTTCCTGCAAAAAAAAATCTTTTCACACAAAAAGAAATCAATTAGAACAATATGAATGAAACACTGTTCAATAAAAAAAAATTGGAATGTTTTAACTGATTAGTGGAAATCTGCAATTCAATCATAAGCGTGTAACTCAATACAAATTCCTCTATCATATAACATGATGATATGATAATCTAGTTGAATACTTTCTAGTATTCGCAGTGAGAGCTATGATACTAAGAAATGACAACTTGAACTGATGTAAAGTAAGTACGAAGTTCCACATTGTAGTTAACAGTTGACAGAATCGAGATATATTTTTTTTTTGAGGAAATTAATCTGTTGATCAAATAATGAAAAAAATAACTCCATTATAAACAATTTCATTAATTATCAACTAACCAGTTTAGCTAGTTACATTAAAGTTAGTAAAAAAAAAGATAAAAATTTCAAACTTTATCAAGCCATTGAATTAAACTATTAGTACAACTGCATATAAGGAATAAAAATAAGCCACTAAAATCAATCAAAATGAATTTTTGAGATACAACACAACTAGTAATTATGCAAAACTAGTTAACTACTAATTAACCAGACTGAAAAAAAGACACTCATTCACTGAAATCTATCTCACGTTGGATAAGTTTATTCATTGTTAGTTAATAATAATAATAATATTCAACAGAAAAGGGGAAAAAGTACTGCCATATATATATATATATATATATATATATATATATATATATATATATATATGTTTGCATAGAAGACAATAATAACACTACCAACCTCAAAATTAGCTAATTACCGTTTATTCAAAAAAAAAACAATCGAGTTGGGTAACAAATGCACAAAAAACAAACCCCGGAATTTTATTGAGAAATGATGCCGGTGAAAGTTAAAAATGTCACGTTATAATAAGTACACACACAAAGCAAAAATAAATAAATACGGTATAATAAAATATCTTCAACGTATACAAAAACGAACAATGAATTTATTATACGTTCACAATGTTTTGTTTTTATCTATGCTTGACAAGTTGTTCATTTCAATACCTTAGAATACGAATATACATAAGGAAGAAAGTTTACATAAACTGAAGGAATTCCTCGTTGTTAGTTTAGACCAATGTGTGCATAGCTGTTAGTAATGCACAACAGTTTCTTCTATTACTATCTGAATTAAAAGTTAGGAAACTTGTTTCCACATTGACATAACCACTAGAATCTGACATTATAAACAACGTGACCGAGCTAATCAAAATCATTAGTAGCGTAATAGGATCTTGTTAACAGTGTTATATTCTCTGAGGTAAATGAATCAATTAGAACTGTGTTCTTGGCTTTCTATACTGATTTACTTGGACTAATTATACTAGCTGTGTATCTGGAAATATCGAGCCTTTAATTCAACACTTTAAGGTCAAATAATTCCAACATAAAGCTACCACCATTCACTTTAAAAACCGATACGAAATTTAGTTGTTAAATGTTCAAACATTTAAAACCACATATGAATTAAATCGCAGTCATTAAATTCCACCCATCATTTTTGTTTTATTATACAGAAAGAGAAACTAACAAGTATGTTATGGTCAGATACCCTGTTCATTTTTCAAAGTAGAGTGATTTCACTTGAAGGCAGTTTTTATATGTGCACAGTATACAACTAAAAAAAAACAACTACGAGATGAATAAGTCACTAATTTTCTTCGCATATCCGCCTTGTTAATCAAAACTTACAAATCCACTTAAATTTGAAATTGAAAAGTCATATGTGGTTATAAGTGTACTGCACAAAAGTACTTGAGTCTCAACGACCACGAATTGTAATTTAATATCAATTACTATCTTATAGTAAAATCAATAAATAAACATTCTTTTAATGAACCAACTCAACCGGCATCACTTTATGGACAAATTCAAGTTTAATTTATCTTGCGCAGATGAAAAAATTCATGAAGTTCACTGATTAAGTACAACTATAATCACCATTACATTATTGCTACATTATCGGATAATCTAAACTAAAACTAGGTAATATGGTTTTTAAATCGATGATTGAATGAATGACTGAAAGCGTTGGCGGTCCGGAGTGATAAAAGAATTTGAGAAGGATTAGTCGTGGAAATATGAGAGATGTTATAAGATGTAAGGAGGATTTGATTGTGACCAATTTCATCTCGTGTGCTGGTACGGGTATGAGGGTAGATGTCACTTCTCGGCTGCCCACACCGAAAAGGAACCTGAAAAGGAAGGTAGATTAGCGCTGGTCTTAGAGAGATGAGAGAGTGACCGCAGAGCGTAAGGGACAACTGCTTGAGGCCGGTCACGCAAGGTCTTTTTACGGGAAATGTTTCAAAGTGTCAGCTCCGCTTTTCAAATGGCACTACCGCATGAGACGGAAATGCGCGAAGTAAGATGAGGTTCGACCATCTCTCTCTAACCTCTTCCTTTCTTGTGAGAGAAGGCAGCATCCCTGCAGATGCGGGTTGTCCGAGGGAAACACCTTACTGCTGTCACAGCCCACTACATTCAGCAGTACGACTTCGTTCTCACACCCTGAGTTGCTGCTTTTAGTCTAATCATTCTCCAATCAACCTGCCTGGCATGGTAGAACCTTCAGGAACATATGTTACAGCCAATATAGCTCGGTTAGGTAATCACAATAGGCAACCCCGACCATCACGACAAGGTAACAGCTACGGTCGGTAAAGTATAGAAATCAAACCCTTAAGTCGTATATAACTACGTAAAAAATAATAGTTTGGTATGAATGATGTACAAAACATGAACGCAATATTAACTATTCTAAAATACCTAACCATTGTTGAAATACTGAATAAGTTGATGGTGCTGTAGTTATTTTTTTTGTACGCTTACAAATAAACACTTAAATTATAACCATCAAACGAATAACACTACTTGTTAGTAATACAATGTAACAGTTAGCAATAATTTAAACATGTAAACACAGATTATTGGTGAAAAATCAATCCCTAAACTTCTGCCATGTTTGTTTAGTATATGAGAACACACACACACACGCAAATGAATATAGTTTGGACCAAGCGCACACATAATATACATTATGGTAAAAACACTTCAAAATACAAAACTTTAAAGCTTTAAAAAAGATGCTTATATTGCTGTTATTGTTGATGGCAGTAATGATCGTAGTGGAAATTATTGAAGGAAACTAAAGCGTAATTAATTAGAACAAATCAAAGGGAAAAAAGCAACTTACTTGAAAATCGAAAGACCTGGTGCAGAATAACGCCTTGATTGCTTGGATGAACCTAACTCTAATAAAATATGGCATGGAGGTGAAACTACAAAAGTTCGGTGTACAGGTATAGGATAGTGAGATTCTAAGTAAGAAGAATGGCGTTTAGAGCGTGGAGGAAGTGGTGGAGGCAGGATAATTTGTGAATCAGGCATGAAATTTGCTGAGTGCATCATCATATTGTCGCTACAATAATGAGGATTATTAAAAGAAATGCTATTTTTTTTTAATTAATTTTTTTAAAAATTAGCGTGAAGTAAGTTACAAATAAGCGCAATTTATGTTTGTGATTTTAAAAAGGATTATTCCATGATTTGAAAAAAAAAATGGATGGAAAAAGAGTTCACGATAGTGTTACATAAAAGCAGGAATTTGCAAACGGATGAAAAAAAAAGCGAAAAAAAAATAGGCACACAGTGAATAGGATGTGGGAAGAAAAATACAAAACAAACATGAAATTAGTCATGCATGAAAAATCAATGATACAATATAGTCACTTAACTAACTAATTATATCTATTTCATTAGGTTATAATCAAATAGGTAAAAATAATCAATTTTAAAGGAACACAACAATAAGTAGGTTACAGTTGGGGAAAATATTCTTATAAACAATAAATAATACAATAAAGATGAATATTAGAGATAAAACTTACAAGTTTCCTTCTTTATGCCATTTTACAGCTGCATTGGACAATGTTCCACTATCCATATAGCATGGAGGTTGTTCATTTGTGACAACACTACCAACACCAATATCAGCGTTTCCCATGGATCCATTATCAAAGGATGATCTTTGACGTGCACGAACAATAGACAAAGTAGCTCTTAATTGTTCAGCCTCTTCTAGATCAGCACCATTCTCTTCTTCCTCTTCAACAACAATGACATCACCTTCATCTTCATCCTCCTCTTCTTCTCCTCCTCCAACTCCAGTGTCTTCTTCGTCTTCAACATCGTTGTGTATACTGTAAGCTCCACAATTAAAATCATCATCCCCAGAAGCGATGCATTTTACTTGATCTCTTTGTATTCCATCGAAATCATTAGGTTCATTAAAATCAGTTTTTTCACTAAGCTCTATCTTATCAATATTGTTATTTAACACACGAACATTTTCAACAACAGTAAGTCGACGAGGATCTACTTCAGAATGTCGTTTACCATTGAATAAAACTCTACATGCATTTTCATGATTTTTACGTTGATTAGAATCACATGAAGAAATAGTTGAGACAGAAGATGTAGAACAAGTACTTGATGTATGATATTCACGATTTGAATCAATAGAATGAGATCTACTTATTGAAGATGAATTACATGGTGAATGTTTATTTTCCACATGGACTGGTGAATCTCTATTAGCATGAAAATCAGATGATACAGAAGAAGAATTCGTAGTGGATGATGATGATGAGGATGAAGATGTTGACGAGGTTGAAGAAAGTGAACTAGTTCGATTTAATTTTTGCATTACAGATATTGGTTCAGTTGATGTAACTGATTCATTAGAGGATTTTGATAATTTAACATTATTGTCTTCATAAGACTGTTGTTGTTGGTGTTGTTGTTGCTGATGATGTGATGATGGTGGTTGTTTATCTGTATTTGATTTTCCATTCAATTGATTTCGATTATTTTGTCGATGAGGACTAGGTGAAACAGCACCTAAACTAGTCAATTGTGCAGCTAGTTGATCAAGTTCCTATAAGAGTAAAAACATTCAAAAAAAACAATAAGAAAAAAATGTACAATAAAAGACAATATTGATATTTTTCTCATGTTACACAACATGGAAAGCTATGTAAATAAGAAAACGCACGGAAAAAAGATGAAACTACCAAATATACACAGTATCATAATATATGAAGAGTAAAGACAATCAAACAAATACTACTTATAGCGGTACTATTATAAAATAGTAAGTACTATAGACATTGAAAACTTAGTTAACTCCAATATAGATTGACGTTTTAGTGACAATACTAATGATAAAAATAATAATAATAATAATAAAACGAATTTGTCACAGGCAAATAAATACTTAAAACTAATTGGCTTGAGTAAAAGATGAGTAGCACACAAATGCTACAAACAACGAAAATGAATGCGAGACAGAGAGAGACAGAGAGACAAGAAGCAACCTCACTGTACATAGATTACATGTAAGTGAAGAAAACATTAGGACAATAAAGCCATACCGATTGTAAATTTATCATTTCTTCAGGTTTTGTTTGATCATTATTATTATTATTATTAGTTTGTTCTTCAGTTATGATTGAACAGTTATCACACTCGACAATTTGTTGAGATGGTTCATCATCTTTTACTGAGTCTATGTTTTCACAGTTAGTAATTATAGGTGTATCATAAATACGAGAGATTTCATCCAAGTTAAAACGATAGGAAGTAAGATGTTGATCACTTTCGATCAATTCTTGGCTATTATTATCATTACCATCATCATAATCATCTTCTTCAACAACAATCAACTCATCTGGTCTTGGTTTAGGTAGTTTACGTCTTAATAATTTTGGACCTAAAGGTGGTTTTGGAGATGATGTAGTTAATAATGGTTCTGAGACTATGGTTTGAATGAATGACAAATCAACAACAGATAAATTGTCATCATTGTTCTTATCAACAGCATGATTTACTTCAATTAAGTCAACATTAGACCCAAACCAATCATTATCTATTAATGATTGATCAATTTGTGCTGTTTCATCAAGATGACTAAAAACATTTGTTTGTTGTTGCCTTGGGAAATGATGAATAATATTTGTTGTAGAAGTTAATGTTGTTTTTGGTATTACATTTAATGTTGTTACACGTGGTATATGTGATTGAGTTCCATGTGGTGGTGGTGGTTGTTGTTGTTGGTGGTGATGTTGATGATGATGATGATCGTGAAATTGCTGAAAGAATGGATTCTCTCGAAGCTGTTCTCTTAAATACACTAATGATGCAGACGATGGATTCAGTTGAGCTTGTTTAAGCCATTGGAATAAATTAATATGAAACTGATGAGTACTAACATTCGTGGATGATACAGATGTCGATGAAACAAGTGTTAACGGGGAGGAAGTTAATAAATGAGATGGAGATGAAAAAACATGCGAAGATGAAGAGGGAATGGTAGGTTTACTGTCTATTTGTTTTAATGTTGGCAAGACTGTATCCACCGGAATACTAGTACTTATGCTACGACTACTTAGAACAGGTAATAATGAGGCTTTCCCCATGGATTTTAATAAATTATTCTGTTTTCCAAACTATTATTATCAAAAAAAAAAACGAATCCAGTCAACAACCCACAAAAGTAAAACATTTTTAGTTAATGTATATATATATACATATATATGTTTGTGTATACGTACAACACCAACAGACACATTATCATCCGAAATATTGCCAAATTAATCGATTTTTTGCGAGAAAACACAATCACAGTGTTTATATTATATACCAAACCATGTCAGCAAATAACAAAATTTACAGGACAACAGAAGTTTTAACATTTAAGACCAACAACAAAAATCAATTTGTTCATTTCAAAATAATAATAGAGGAATGACAGCAGAAGTGATAATATATACACATTCATTTTTATTAAGCGGTTTTGTTGTGACGGTTTTATTAAGTAGCATCCATCCAGTATCACATGAGATACAATGAAAGAAGATGTGGGATTGAGAAACAAGGATGGACACATAGTAAGGTGTACAGTTGCATGACATCATAGTGACCAAATTAAACGGGACATATGGGGATAGACAGTCACAAGCCAAAAATGACCGTATGATGATACATCAAAAACAATGAAATAAAGATGAAGATGAAGACAAGAAAGTAACATAAAAAGTGAATTGTATTGCATAACATAATCACCCCCCCCAACCAACCAACCCACACCCGCAAAAGGTAGGTACCGTTATCGACGAAATCATACATTTAAACATTGTAGATGATGCAAAAATGGGCAAGAAAACCGCGGCAAAAAAGAGGGAAAAGATGAGAAAAAGAAAAGGCACATGTTAGTTTCATATTATATTCTACAAAAAAAACATACATAAATGCGAAACTGCAATAAAGTAATGCAAATGAGAAAATTACAATTTCATAGAACTCTAGACTCATGAAGCAGCAATCTGATCAAATATCTATGAAAAATCATTCTAGTCACACCGGATTATGTAAGTCAAGCAATGAGACTACTGAAAGGAAGGGGAAAAAAGAGTACAGCATACCATATCATAAAGCATACAAGAAAATTGGAATAAGGGCTATGGGGTCCAACAAAGGGAGTGTTTGGCTTTAGCGAATCGGATCGGATCGAGTCGGATCGATGAAGAAAGCTAATTTGACCTTACCAATCAATAAATGAAACAAACACACACACAAACTGGCATACATTTACACACACACACAGACATAAATTAGTAAGAAAAGACATGTTCACACAAATGTACACTAATACAATAAGCCATGTTAGTTCACTTACCTCAAGACATGATCTCTTTATATTGTATGAAATCAAAAAAAGTAATTATATTCATTGAAACAATCAAATACAAACAATGACGGACCTATTAAATCTACACATGTTTTTTTGGATAACTTGTAATTATAAACATCGCTTCTCAATAATAAAGACAAACAAATTCAAACACAAGACATCATTATGGAAAGTAATGAATGATCAAAGTTAACGAGTAAAATGTAATGATTGACTAATCTCTTATTTAACCGTTTGATAAACAGAATAAAACAATATTAACATTAGACTATGGTACAACTGTGTACAACCTCCATCCTAAACTAGATAGACACTGACAATTGTTATGTGTAGTAGTGTAATGAAAGAGAAAACAGGTGGGGCAACCAAATTGTATTTAGCGAAAATTACAGAGTTACTCAGTAAAATTGGAAAACCATATCGTAAATCGTTTATTTGCAAAAGATCAGTCCCTCCTATCGAACTGGACTGTTCCTGTTGCAAAACATCAATCCATTGTCACTACTCATGCGTTTCATACCAATTCCATTGTGTTTCCACTCTTCCTTTCTTGATCTTCCCCTATCTTCTGCTGCCAGACATTACGTTGACACTCACGTTATATACTACTTATAAGTAGCTCACACCACAGTAGTAGTGTCGAAATCCAATGTATAATGTTCTCTAATTGTTTTGAATAGCTTATTCTACTTAGAGAAATGCAATGATACACTAACATTTTTCGTTCAACTCTGTTTGTTTATAAATAAAATCATTAGTTTTACATTGAATTTATTAGCAATGTGTTAAAGGAATAAAGTGTTGGGAACGTTAGATCCCCAAAATTCACTTGAGAAAGGTCCTAACTTTAGATGTTAAGTTTTCGAGCATTATTAGTTGTTATTAGTTGATGTATGATTTTAGTACACTATTTTTGTGACTGTCCCAAGGACATTTCTATCATGTATAAATAAACTCGATTTGTGTGCTTGAAAAACCTCATGTTTTCTCGGTGCTTGTAGAATGCACTTTTTACGTCTTGTCAATACTTCTTTCTCTACATAGTGGGGCCTTGGGATGGTCGAATCAGAGTAGCCTATTGTGTCACTGGATCATTTGTATTCGCTCTTGTTTACCGACTAAGCTGAACTCGTAACAGTGCAAGCATATCAATTGACGAGCATAACTTATCATTTCTCGAAAATCCCAACATAAAATGGCGATATAACGATCATCTTTTATTCTTGGAATTGGTAAATTACAAAGTTCCAGTAAGAAACTGAATTTTTAAACACTTCACATCAAACCAAAGAAACACCTACAAGATTATAATCTCTTATAAAATTTCGTTTAGATATAACTATTTTTTTGTATCACCTGTTACACAACAGGCAAACAACCAATGGAGCAGTTTTTTTAAATATCAAGAGAAATTTTGCAATAAATTTCAAATCAATCTCTTATGGAAGAAAATACGCTTATTTATCCAACACAAACAACAAAAACTATCATGCAATATGTAGCTGTTTAATCAGTCACATTTCATACAAGCATCATCATCATAATAATAACAATCGAAACTGAAACAAATTGAAACCACAAAAAACAAAAGTCAAAATAACCACGATAAAAAGAGGTGATAAGGTAATACGGCATAAGAAATCATCATCATCAACAGTAACGTAGAAATTTGCATGTAAGTACAGCAGTTCAAGTTGCCAAACCATGTTAGCACAGAGATGCAATTGTCAATTCAAATCCCATAGTAGTAGAGGTAGTAGAAGGATTAGCAGTAATCGGAGAGAAATATCATTCGACGGAAAACATGTAAAATTGAGGAATATTCAGTACGGATGGAATTATCATAAGTTTTATAAGTATTTACGGTAAGATAGCTATTGTTTAAGCCAAACATTTGAAATGAAGTTTTATTTTAAAAATGACAATTGAATGTTTATAAATATTAATTAGTGTTGACGCTTTAAGTTAAACTAATGCATAAAAATGAGCATCGCCTCGTTTTAGATTCGGTTGTCAAGATCTTCATCTTAAAAGCAATATTACAGAGTGAATATTATTGGAAAACAGCATATTAGTAATCACTGCTAAACACATGTAATTGAGTCAGTTTAGTATCTTCATCTTCATGAAAGGTTGCGAACACGATAATGATTATAACTGTAACTGTCTAGACAAACTTATACATCACAAATACGAAGTACCAAACTGATTATCTATATAAGTTTGTCTAGACAGTTATAGTGATGTATATGTTTTTTTTTTAATTTAAGTCACTTTCTTTTTTTGTACAAAGTGGAAGGCATGAACATGAAGTGATTGATGCAGATAACTAATTACTACTAACTTGTATAATTCTTATGAATTTTAGAATTTATGGACTACTATCATCTATCTATTTGAAGTTTTTTTTTGTTATACAATACAGAGAAATTTATGATTGTCGTTGATTGTTCAATCGAGATCAGTGTGAGTTTTAGATAGGAAAAAAACTCATAGATTAACAAATTTTAAGTGTTTTATTAGACTTAAGGATAATTTTAATGGATGAAATGATTTAATATGTCTGATATTTAAGTAAGTTAAAAAAAAAAAAACTTCAAATAGATAGATGATAGTAGTCATAAAATTCTAAAATTCATAAGAATTATACAAGTTAGTAGTAATTAGTTATGTGCATCAATCACTTCATGTTCATAGCCTTCCACTTTGTATAAAAAAAGAAAGTGACTTAAATTAAAAAAAAAAAACATATACATCACTGTAACTGTCTAGACAAACTTATACATCACAAATACGAAGTACCAAACTGATTATCTATATAAGTTTGTCTAGACAGTTATAGTGATGTATATGTTTTTTTTTTTTAATTTAAGTCACTTTCTTTTTTTATACAAAGTGGAAGGCATGAACATGAAGTGATTGATGCACATAACTAATTACTACTAACTTATATAATTCTTATGAATTTAACAATTTATGGACTACTATCATCTATCTATTTGAAGTTTTTTTTTTTAACTTACTTAAATATCAGACATATTAAATCATTTCATCCATTAAAATTATCCTTAAGTCTAATAAAACACTTAAAATTTGTTAATCTATGAGTTTTTTTCCTATCTAAAACTCACACTGATCTCGATTGAACAATCAACGACAATCATAAATTTCTCTGTATTGTATAACAAAAAAAACCCTCACTTCATTCAGCACAAAAATCTAAATCGATCGAATAGAAAAACATCAAAAATCAATGAAGGATAATTTATTACTATAAGGAATCTAATCTTCCGTTCAATGATCAACAATTCCAATTATCAATCATAATAATAATAATAATAATAATATTCAAATTACATTACTACAGAACAGAATGTAAAATATGACAAATGTTGCCTGATTAAAAAAAAGACCCATTTATTCAACACCATGAAATGAATAATACACTGCTGACCGGTTGGTTATGTAACACAAAAATGAAGCCTTACCTCGGATTTTTTATTTATATGATGTAGATTGTGCTGTTGATGCAAATGATGAGGATGATGTAATTTTTGTGGAATAACACTGGAATTTTGACGATTCGACAGTTGTTTATTAGCATGTGAACGAAGTCCAGGTTGATTATTATTATTTATACATGTACCATTGTTTGCAATTGTTGTAGTGATATTCTTCGTTGAAACTATTACGATAACCATAAATGAATTGCAATTGTTCAAAATGTAATTCATAACATGTGACGATGAGCAAATGCAATATGATAAGAGGAATAAACAAAAATACATATGGTATTATATATTGTTATAAGTAAAAGCATTACCGTTATAAAAAAAATTGAGACAACTCAATCGATTAATAATTGCAGACAGAGAGGAAGGAAAATATGCTCTTCATTAAGAGATTAAAAATAAATTCTTATTCTTCTTCTTAATATTATTATTGTTAACGATGAAATAAAGAATAAATCTATCAGTGCCTAACATCTTCATTATTACATATCTTGAATGGGAACTGAACATGTTTAAAGTTAACGATAGAAATTATTGACTACAGTATTGTGTTTAAATAAGACGATCTATACATTGTTTATTTTACATAACATTATCGAATGTTCAGGAAAAACAAAGATTGTAGGTTGCAAAAACCAACATCCAATAATAAACTACACTGCCTAATATTATAATGTTTAAAAATTTATTCTAACTACTTTTCATGTTAACTTGATATTTGGACAAACGAGAATAACGCTTTTTTTTTCTAGGATTCGTAGTCAACTGAAATTAATGTATATTTTTGAGCGAGTGAATACCTGAAATATACTTAGTTATCTAACAGGATATACTGATTTTCGAATCAAACTATTATTACAATAAGTTGTACTATGAATAGGAATAAAATATTTTTCAATAAACTGAATTTACAAATACAGAAAATTAAGTGAAACACGGCAAAATAGTCTGTCAGTTACAACGTATAACTTCGTACGTGCGTACATCAGTTCAAGTTGCCATACCACATTAGCACAAAGACGTCATTATCCATTCAAATCTCATAGTAGCAGAGGTAGTAAGAGTATTAGCAGTAACCAAAAAGATTAATTATCGAATATATCATTCTAGATGTATACCCAAGAGTAAAAAGAAAGGGAAAAACCAGTCGCGAGGAATTCAGGAGATTAGAATTTGAGAGAACACAAGGAATGGATGCACATGCGCCACTGCAAACGGTTTTGAGCCATGTCATTTAAGGTCTTTAACCATCGGTTAAGATCATCTTGCGGACCCTAACCGGGTAGTCGACACTTAGCAACATGAAACAATCTAATTGTCAGAGACTTCATGAATTTGTGCCATGTTTTGCCTTGGTCACCCCTAGGTTTCTTCCAACCTACTCTTACACGGCAAAATAGAAAGAAATGTTTTTAAAACTAGGTATTTACATCGAATTATTGTTTTCTGTTGCTTTCCATGTAACAAATATAAGGGAGATAAATGATTACAGAGAGGAAGAGTCCACAGTCATTGCGCTGCAGTCATATTTTTGAAGAAAGATAACTTCAAAATTTATCTTTGTCGAATTAGTCTTCCTGAATGTTTTAAGCATTGCAGGGTAAGTAATATTTCCTCCTAGCAAATTATAACAAGTCAGTATTTCAATTGATATCATCAAAGACATTGATAGACTTATAATATGTAGAATATTTTGTTAGTTTGATATTTATCGATGGAAGTGAAATTTACTCTAAAAATCATAGGTATTGATGAAAACACGATCTTGTGTAATCCCTAGATTAATCAGAGTTAGACATTAACACCGTTGGATGCCGGCCCAGTAGTCCAGAGGTTAGGCGTTCGCGCACAAGACCAAAGGTCCTGGGTTCGAATCCTGCAAGGTGCAGGAGTCGTGGATGCGCACTGTTGATGAGTCCCATACCAGGACGAAACGGCCGTCTAGTGCTTTCAGGTTTCTAATGGTGATCTAACAATGATTGATTGATGATTTCAAATGTGTAATAACTTTAAGCAACGGATTAAATCAAGTATCATGATTATAGGTTAGCGTGAGAAATTCGACTGAGTTTATAATTATTTCACATTAATAATTATATATTAGCTGATATACGATAACTCGTAATTATTGTTAATTATGCTAACTTATCACACTTTCAAATGAATGAAAATATCGGTAGTTTCATGATTGAAAGAAAAAGATTTAAGGATATGAGAGACAACGAGTGATTATGACAGATTTAAACTGTCTGGTTGAGGTCTTTACGATTATCATGATCAGTGGGTGAAATCGAATGACACAGTTCACACTTGTGCCAGTTTCTTAGCAGATTATGATTGGTCGACTGAACTAACGACAAACTAATTTTAACATTTAGTTTTACATGACAGTAATGATGAATATTAACGTACTGTTTTCTATTTAGGCGACATAATATTACTGACGATGAGGGTAATGTTTAGGTTTATACGTGATTAATATATGCGTGCACATAAGTAATATCCTGAAAGAACCACTAAAACTAACCATTTTCACCAATTAAGGATACTTGGTGTGCTGGAGATCGATTGCTCAATCCAGATGCTACATTTGATGCTATCGGTTGACGAGTAAAGTTAGGGTTAAAAACTTCACTTGCTGTTGTTGTTGTCACTGTTGTTGTACTAGCCGGTACTGATGTTATCGTAGTTGTGGTGGTCGTAGTGGTTGTTGCAGCAAAAGCCATCGCAGCTCCACTTGATCGATTAACAGGACTCGATATACTTACATTTGCAGATGATTTGGATTGGTTAACAACTGGACTAGTCGACGTGATGATCGACTGAGGTAAAGCTGATTCCAATGGTGGTTTACGAAGGTCTAAATGTGGTACAACCTGTTAAAAGAGAAAAGGTTAAAGAGGATTCTTAGCTCAAATGGATGCTTTCATAGGTGTTGAGTTATCTGAGCTAGATGATCTCATTTCAGAGCTTTCATCGTCACTCTGGATATCTTCAGAGACTACTACATGTGAAAGTGAGAAACAAAGCCATCAGAATGGAATGATACAGAACCTGTTAAACAACATGAAGTTGGAATTAAAGATTTTGTTTACAATGACAATGAAAATTCTACAACTAAGCCATTTAATTCAGAAAACTCAACATCACCAGAAGACAATGCTAAATAAAACTGGACATTTGTTAGATGCGAAAGGATATATGAATATTAGCTAATTACAATTGAGTGTACACAACAAATATACTGTTATTTCTGAAATGTTATCCATCTTTTGTATTCCAAACAATCATTTTCCAGTTCCAATAAAAACTGTTTTCATTTTATGAAATTTCAACAGAAAACAGAAGTTTAATTGAAAAAATATATACTTCTTTACGTAAATGGTTGTGACTTTCGATAAAGAATGGGATGATTGAAGGCATTCTGCCTATTACAAGTAAGTGTTATTTCTACTGAGTAGAATGTTAACATGAATAACAGTAAATGGTCAGCAATGATATTTTGATAATACAACTAACAATATTAAATTCAGATATTGCATGTTGTTGATACCTTTTGAGTTATAATAAAAAAAGGAGAAAGGCCATTTGTTGACAAGACAATGGATGTTAACACAACAATCTACGGTTGACATCTTCAAAATTTATTAGTCTTCAACTATACAAGATTGTTACTCGGACATAGACTGACTGGATTAAAGCATGATTGCGATGTTGCACGCTGGATTAGCCCTTTCGTATCCAATTAGCGCTAGCCGATACAGAGAAAGCATTCTAGAATCCTCTCGTGTAAGAAAACTATAAATATACTAACGTCTTTTTCCTTTGAATCTTCCTTCGAACCTTGTAATTGGAATATAATCTATTTCTTGTTCAACCGTGTTCTGATTTGGGAGAAATCCTCGAGTGAATTGGTGTCCGAGAATACTAAGCATTAGGAATAGCTGGGTTGTAATAAAGAAAAAATTATAAAACCATATACACTTTTTCTTGTATTGTGAACTGATTAGTGTAAACAGTCACTTATGATTGCATGAATTTTAAAATGTATTTGGAAATCAATTTACGTAGAAACGTCACTGTATCATTATCACTTAAGAGGACACACAGTTTATATGATAATTATTAGGACAATTTAATGCATAAAATGAAAGAATCAGAGAAATAAAATACCTGACTTGTTGGTCGAGTTGATGGAAATTTCGGTGCCACAATGTGTTGAAGACGAGAACTAGCAGCGTTAGCCATTCCAGTGACACTAGATGAACCATTCAGTTCATCAGTTTGATGTTGAATCCCAGATACTTGTACACCTGATGCATTATGTACTGCACCATTCAATCCACCATTATTATTATTACTATTATTATTATTATTAATACGAACCTGCTGATGTAGTGGAACAGGTGGTGGACCAGGATTGGTAAGTTTTGCACGAAATGGTGAAATCAGTAGATTACCCAAAGGATTATTTGAACAGATTGACGGTGATGATGATGATGACGACGATGAACAAGTCGTAACAACAGTTGGATGAAAAGAATTGAGAGGATTTGGCTGTGAGCATTTTAGATATCATATGGATTTTTATACAAGATATAATCAGCATTCACCATCAGCATGATCAACATGCGTCACAAGCCAAAAAAAATATAGCAAGCAGTAGTATGAAAGGAAGAAAAAACTTAAATTATAAGCTTTCGCATGCAAGAAAGAAAAGAACAATAAAATGCAAATAAACTGTAAATTAGGGCAAATGTTATTGGGGTCCCTACATATAAAACCTAAATAATTACATGACATGAAAATATAGGTGAATACTTTCATGGATGAGTTTATTAACAACAGGGTAGTAGTAATGAGGAAAAACAACACTTCAATAAATCCCTTGAATTTATTTAAGTTTTAAACAAAATGAGAGCTTATGTTATAGGGAAAACACTATGATTACATGGTTGTGAACAGTGGGCCTATATATAAAATGAATCATTTACAATGGTTTTGTACTCAAGTTTATTTCGAACAACTGAACGTTTCCATTTGATTGAATTTGGTGTAATCTAACAACAATATTATTCTATTGACTATGTAATTTACGAACTAAGCTACGATATCCATTGATAGATTTTACCAAATTCTTTCGGAAAATTAATACATGATAAGTTTTGTAAAAGAATCAAAGATATGAAAAAGATATTGCGCCTACATAAAAAAAATTTAATAGAAATAAACTAACCAGTTAACGGTTAAATCACCAGATAATATAAAAATAATGATATTTAACAAAAATTAAGCAATTTAAAAGAATATATTCAATTTGAAAATAAAAAACAGAACTACAATCATCATACACTTCCCACGTTACATATATATATTGTTTCGGAAAATTCCTTTTCCTAACAAATCTATACATATTTCATAGTTAACATTACAGACTAATCCTAATGAAACAATCACTGAAAACTATGAAGCATTGAATAGCAGATGTTTTCCCATAGTGCCGGACTCTTCAACCGTGCATATCAACGACCCTAACACAGTAGATCGAAGCTAGGACCTTCAGTCTTGTGAAGACCAATTACTTGCTAGACCCCAGAACCTAGGTTCAGTGTGCTGTGATAAAGTTATGACTACGTACTACTGAATAGACCCACATTATGGAGAAACCGATATCCAGTGCTGCCTAGATTTCGGTGGTGGTTTAATTAAGATTAGTCTATGATGTTAATTATCAAATGTAACAATCTGTTGTTGTAGATATGCCCTCTTAAATTACAATTGATGAGAAGTAAATCAATATAAATTAGGCTGAACAGTATTCACGGAATTCCAATACATTTTTATAATATTCTAAGCATTTTTTTTTCATTTGATAATACAATCCACAAACGTAATGTAGTTTGTTCGATTACACTGAGTCAACATTAAATAACTAACTTCACTGAGAAAACTGGTGTTTTTACTTGTTAATGGGACAGGGGAAAGAAGAAGATATTAGTAATAACGTTCACAGTTTTGAATTTGGAGTAGCGAAATTATTAGCACAATACTCGAACGTATCACTTCATAACCTTCCTATAGTTTATATATATGTTTTTTGAATGAATTCTATTCAGATAGATGTCAATCACCTTTTTCTATACTACATAAAAATATAACTTAACAAGATATCAATAAACAGAAAAGAAAAACTTCTACATCAACAATACTCGACATTATGGAATGAATCAGTTACAATTCACACATGATTCGTTAAAATCATTGATGTCTAGATACACAAACTACGTTGAAAGTCTCTGATGAATCGATTTATTCAAAATTTAATAGAAATGGATAACCCTTAAAACTGAAAGTTAAGCTTAAATAGCTTCAGCGATGAATATTGAATTAATTAATACATAATTATTCTCACGATAATTAATAACAATGTTGGAATTTCTTAAATACATTATAGGTTGGACTACAATCTGTTTGAATCCCGTATAATATAATAATAATAATAATAATAATAAAATACACTTTTTATTATTGAGTTATGGACTAGTGGAGTTTAATTCTGTCGACTGTAGGCAATAACTACAGAAGACACTAGTTGAGGTTGCGCAAAATCAATAGATTGATCAAAATTGGACGTTAACACCGTTCGATACCGGCTGAGTAGTCTAAACATTAAGCGTTCGCGCGCAAGGTCCTGGGTTCGATTCCCGCGAGCGAGTATCGTGGATGCGCACTGCTGTAGAGTCCCATACTAGGATGAAAAAGCTATCCAGTCTTTCAAAGTTTCTAATGGTAGTTTAACAATGAATGATTCACGATTTCAATGTAACAATTCATTTCGACTAAGATTAATTATCATATTAAATGACTTTAGATGGAGGATATATATATGCATATACATACATACATACATGTGAAAAATAGATACTAGAACACAATAACAATAAATTTTAGAATATCACATTAAAATTAATAATGTTAAAAATTCGAAAATAATTTAGCAACTAATAAAATTTAATTCATTTATGAAAATTAATGAAAATCGGTTCACATCAAGAGGTTTTTTTTTCATTGAAGTATATACAATATATATGTATACCGAATTATAAACATATTTCAATATAATTATTACTTAAAACTATTCATTTATCTACTTTCATTTTTAATCTTATACTATTTTTTTTCTCCACACGGTAAATTAGATACAATAAATATGTAGAGTACATATAATAAATTCAACAAAACAAGGTGGAATTTACTCGGAGTTAATTGTAAATTCTATTTATGCAATATAAAAAAGCTACAATCATATATTTTTAGAAATAATCTACAGGGAAAAACTAAATCATGATTATAAAAATAAAAAGAACCCATTGTTGATAAGATATAATAATGAGGAATTTTTCCTAGTGAACAATGAACAACGACATTAGACGACGATTCACAACAATCATGTCCATCAATCGGAGTGAAACATTATCAATTCATTGGTGAGACTTATAAAAAGACACTTTTTTTTGCAATATGATGAAAAATAGTGGATGTAATTCAATGTTGAATGATGTTATTGTGAACAGTATGGTGATGTGTATGTTTAATTGAATACCACCATAGATTAATTTTGTTCATTATGTTGATGTTTAAATAATGATGGCTAATTGAAATTAATTAACCAATAATAATAATAATAATAAGCCAACAACAAAGAAGAAAAACGAATCACAGAACAGACAACGTTTAAATGATAAAGTAGCAAGCACTTCAACAACATATATTGTGAAATAAAATGTAACGCATCAAACTGACACCATTTAAAATCCTACTGAGTAGTAAGTATAAAGCTTGAAACAATAAATTTCTTAGTTCCATATTAAATATCTTGTGCCTTGTTACATGAGAACTGAAACAACTCTTTATCAAGTTTGATCAGTATATTTACAACTGATTTATTAGAGCTAAGATTAGAAAATTATTATCGAAAAAATCAATATAAACTCTGAATGTCAACAACAAGAGAACATGCTTCATTTCAATAAAACTAACAACAGTCATCTCAATTAATGTTTCATAATTTGAAAACTATGAGTAATAGATTCGGAATTAATCTAAACTTGTTCAATCATAACCTATCGATTGAATATACACACATAACCTAATCAGAGATCAAGAAATATTCTATTCATTACTTTTAATGGGTTATGTTTTATCTAAATAAATTTCTATAATTACAGAAGTATTAGTGACGACAGAAAATATTCATCATGAGTAGAAAAATAGTTAAAGCACATAGTTTAATGAAACGTTCAAGGACAACAACGACTACTAACCACAGATGCTCTATGATGTTGTAGGGGAAAATGATGCGAAAACTGCCCACTATCACCAATTGCACCGATAACTGATAAAGGTGTAGTGACCGGATTATTAACTGAGGATGAGGTGGATACAATTTCATTGTTAGTTACAGATTGACTATCTATAGGTGTATCTGAGACTGTAGCAGTATGAGGTGATGGGCCGCCTGTGTCAGCTAGACGATTCCCAGCAGCTAGAACACCCAATTTTGGTTGATTCGGATGTATCTGTTGTTGTGACTGATTATATCCTGGTGGTCCACGACTGCTATTCAAAGGTCGTGAATGTTGAGGAAAGTGATGACCAGATGATTGTGGGCGTCCATTGGCAGATCGTTGAGGGGCAACACCTACAGAAGGATGGTGTTCACGTTCCTAGGATGAAGATGATAAATCAACATGATTATTTGCACATTTACACACATACATACATAGATAGATAGATAGAGAGAATTTGGTAAAGACTGTTTTTGCCAACAGATGTGAACGCAAAGATAAAGTAATGACATGAACTAAGTACCACAAAGGATAAGTAAACCAAACTTTCATAATTAAATTTTTTTTTCTTCCGTAGTAATATTGTGACAAATGTATAAGAAATCTATAATATCTATAAAAAGACACCTATAACAGCATTGAATGTACAAGTATATGGTGTGAATAAAAAGTTCAAAAAAAGATATTACAGTATGTACAAAAGGTACACATGATAAATCAATGGCAATAAACACATACACATATAAACTGATTCAATGAAATTATAATTAAGACAATGAAGTAAGAGTTAAGAAAACATATATTAACTAACCTACTAGGATCTGTTCGTAACCTTATATACATACATCATTGTAAGTCAATCAACAACAAAAACCTTCAAACAATCCAACTTTCGAAAAACCACGTTCAATTATTTAATATTGCTACATTATATATACATAAAATTTATCGACTATTTAACTATCAATCAACTAATTCGATGTTATTAAAAAATAGAGAATAAGGAGAAACAACCACTATAATCATCACATATGATTGTACCGCGAGAACGACAAATGTGGACAACTATAGGTCAACTAGATGTGCAGATATAGATTGAAACAAGAAACTGTAAAGATTTACATTGCCGTCACAGCATGAAATAACTTAAAATCGAACAAATGATATTGAATATTCTTTAGCTTTCTGTCAGTCAGTCAGTCAGTTAGTTACCACGTAGAACTTCGTACGTACGTACATCAGTTCAGGTTGCCAAACCACATCAGCACAGAGATGCAATTGTCACTTCAAATCCCATAGTAGTAGAGGTAGTAGAAGTATTACCAGTAATCGGAGAGATTACGGTTCAAAGATATTATTCAAGTAGAATCTAGTGAAATAAACATAAAAAGAAAAAGATATAGGTGATAAGGAATTTAGAAGGCTAAGATTTGACAGATTACAAAGAATGAATGCACCTGAGCCAGTGCAAACATAGATGCATTCTGTAGATGATACAAATTCTAAGCTTTAAATGATTATGAAAGCAAGACGGAATAGTTAACGCAATGAAGAGTAGATATTATATACTGTGATCGTTTTGAACATTATATATATATTTTTTACACGAAGTTAAACAAGTAAACTCACTCAGAAATCACTGATCGATTTCCTTTTTAGAATCACCTCTTAGACAATAATAAACACCAAAATTCTACACTTATACAAATCAGTTATTTTACAACTTTCTTAAATAACAATTGATTTCTAATTTTCCTTTTTCCTTAAAACATTTAACAGACTGTTTATATTCAAGCAAATACTTGAAAATGATTTATTATCCATTGTAATGACTCTACTTGAGAATCAAATACAAACAACAAATTCTCAGTGATATGTAAAACACATTATCCAATAGTCTATATTATAACCAATAAATATAACTAAATATATATATATATATATATATATATATATATATATATTATAACTCATTAAAAAAATATAAGAATGCATTTTCAATCTTCACACGTATCAGATGTTGTGTTACACAAACCTAATAAATGAATGAAACTATAAACGGTATTTAATTAAGATCAATATTACTGATTTTACATCAAGTACATAATAAACTTTTTTTTTTTTATTACACATATTTTTTTTTGTTGTTGTTGATGAATCACAACACTATTTGCAAATCATGAAATGAAATTACGAGAAACAAATCGATAAATGTAGAATTTGCTCAATCATCTTAATAAACTGTTTTTTTTTGCGAAAAGTAAAAAAAAAAAAAAACAAATTTGTCATGATTTAATTTTCATCATGAAATAACACTGAAAAAAAAGGATCATCATTAATTAATTTAATTTGTAATCAGATGATGTAATTTAAAATGAATTCTGGAGAAATTTATTGCGTGTATACAGTGAAAATAATGAAATTCTTTAGATAGATAAAAGTGCACGCAATTTATTATTATTAGTATTATTGAAATAATGAAATTTTCTCCACTGCACATAAATATATATCAATACAAACGTTCAATTCAAACATACAATACATAAAATCGAGTGAAGTTAGATCATTTTGATAATAACAATGGAGAAATGAACAACTCGACTCTGATCGACATCAGAGTTTAATACTTTATGTTATCTGCGTAATTTATTACAGTTCAAACAGAACAACAATAATAACAAAATAACAGAGCTTCATTGTTTTAATGAACACACTAATAGAGATTCGAGATCCTGTGATGCTGACATGTATTCCGTTTGACATAAGGTCACACACATTCAAGTCAATATTTAACGAAATATATAGTGACTTGTGATAAGGAATAAGAAAAGTTTATTGTGATTTTCTGATGTAATCATATATACGAAGAGATATTTCATTTCATTTTTCAACTAAATAGAAATATACTCAAGATTTGCTCAATATATTACGCAATAGAAGGAAATTAAATCAACACTTAAAAATTATACAATCGCAATATGCAATAACAACAATATACAAACAGTAGAGAAATATAAAATAAACTATCATACACATGATATTGATGAGTTGATCATGCTACTGATTCGCAAATAGCATAACCTCTATTATTTACAATGCTATATTATATAACGTATAAATGATTTGAAAGAAAGAAAATCTATAAAAGAAGATCTATGCAAAAAGCAAACTAAACTAATAGATATATATGTAACACACGCAAGATTGAACGATTTTCACAATCGTCATGCATTGCACCACTTAAAAGGACCATTAATAACAATTTTAAAAAAACGCACACACATAAAACCCATTAATCATCTATGTGAAATTTCGACCTTCACAGCTTGGTCAGTCAGTCAGTCAGTCAGTTACAACGTAGAAATTCGTACATGAGTACATAAGTTCAGATTGCCATACCGCATTAGCACAGAGACGCAATTGTCAGTTCAAATCACAGAGTGGTTGAAATGATTATTCGTTGGATTGTAAGAAAGGAAATTTCACAGATGTTTATATTCTATCCTGCAGAATATCGACATCACAATCCTCTTGACTAAAAACTGTATTCAAAACACTGGGGGTATACATTTGTTCACTCAGCTGGAAAGTTGTGAAGTTAGCTCGTGTAGATTGCTTTTACATAACAGAGAACACAAAATTATTCTGTAGAATAATAAATACAATCTAAACAACAAGTAGACTGTTAGGATATACTTTCAATATCCTAAGAGAATTATTGGTCTATTCCTATTGGTTAATTCCTACTGGTCAATTTTGTGGTCGTCCTAGATATCAATGTCATGTACTCCAATGTTGTTTCTTATTGGTCGTTCTGACTGTCAATGTCACCTCAAATGTTGTTTCCTATTGGTCTACTTAACTGTCAATGTTGCAGACTTCCTTGCTGTTTCCCATTCGACCTAAATGTATAATTACGCATTATCTGTAACGTTTTATGGACCGAACCCGGACCCAGATACTCAGCCTCTTCTGGACTCGGACCTCGTACTTTCTGGATGCTTTTAGGATACAGGTTCTACTTCATATCAAGTCTTCTTCTTTCACTCCACGGGAGTCGGGACACATGGATTTGAGTAGCATGTGTCAGCGGATTCTCGATCCTCGCCCTCGTTTTCCGACTAAGGTAAACTCATAATAATTCAATCATATCAAAATGACATGTTTAAGTTCAAAAGTAACATGGACAGATTGATTTTTGTATTCATATTGAATGATACAACGTGAAATGAGCTACAAACTGGATGATATTAAACAAAAAAGGAAATTTGAGTTTAATCACAAGTTAATCCATTCTTTCTATGATGACAGCTGGAATAAAAGTTGTTATTTACTAACGCATAAACTGGTCACCTACATTCAGTGAAAGGAAAACACCAGATTAACTTACAAGCATATATATATATATATATATATATATATATATTTGAGAGAGAGAGAGAGAGGAGATAGATATATGACTATCCTCTAATCACGGATAAATCGGGTAGAGTAGGTTATAACTAGATGGGTAAGTGGATTTCTTTAATTTCTATTCACAACAACCTAAGTGGATCCAAAATTACATGAATATAAAGCATTTTTACCACAGAACCATCCACTTGATAACAACAACTCAGGTATCTACTTTGATTAATCCAGAGATGATTTTAACTCTATGCCACTTTAATGAGTTGTTGCCCTTCGTAATTTCTTAATCTGAGTTATGAAAAGTTTCAAGCGGAAATAAACCCCCAGTGCAGAATCAATAATAACTCACTAATTATTGTTTACAACGGATTTATAATCCGATTATTGAATTACAAAGCAACATAAACTAAGTTTAAAATTGACTTTATACATTTTTTTTCGCTAGATTACAAGTAAGAATTATATGTTGGGAAAATTTTATAGATTGTCAAAGTCAATAATTTTTTAGTCATAAATATATAAACATTATTATCAATTGATAACTTCGACCAATCCACTATTCCTAACTTCCACATGCTGACAATAAGACTAATTCCAGGTTGAATTCGTGTACGACTTCCATTGAGCAATTATTTTATGATTAAAATGAAACGCCAATTAATCATACCCTTTATAATACTATGAGATGAAACCACGATACAATTATACCAATATATATATAGTGATCTATTTCATCGGACAGATAACAATAATGTTTCAGCCACAATAGATATGATATTTTCGGAAGTATTATGTTATCTAATAAGCTTAGCAAAGCTATTATTGTTTATCTAGAAAAAAAAAATTACCAAGATCTATGATTCTATATCATTTGAAATTGGATAATGACTGATAACCTTTAGAATTATTTACAGAAAAGTAGAAATGCATTCCACTTATATGAAGATAGTAAGCATACACAAACAGTAAGTCGGAAATATTACAAGACATAAATAGTCTAAACGAAAGATAACTGTTTTAAAACAAAATTTACTCTGATACAAATCATAGCCAGGATATATGAGAACTTTTGAACAGAATGCAAAGCAAAAGCTACTTACCTGTAAACGAGCAAAATTTTGACGAAGTGTATTTTCACCTGGTTCTTTAGCATTGACCGTTGCTGATTCACCTTCATCTAACCTTGATAACCTACTATTATGAGGCATCATTGATTGTGGTGTAACAGCTGGCAACTTATTAACTGCAGACATAGGGTTTCGTGAGATGAGTCGAGGATTCATTGGTAGGTTATCATTCATAATATTTCCACCTGGAACCATATGTCCATGTTGTCTAAAGTTTAATCCTGATACAGATGGTTGTGGAACAAATGGTGCTACTTCATTTTGATCATGAACTCCACTGGTTCGAACTACCTGACCATGATTTTGTTTATCTGACGGTACACGAAATTGAGGTGGATGATGACCAATCTGACTAGGTAGACGATGTGGCTGACCATTACCACTAGCAGCAGCTGACATAGCTAGAGCAGCGGCAGCAGCTCCTTTAACAGCTGCACTAGTTTCTTCTTCCTCCTCTTCATCACTTCCTTCATATTCGTAAATCTTCTCGTGTTCTTCAGCTGGTAATAAAAATAAAAGGACAGAACATGGTTACGTTGAGTACAAAAAAACTTAGTTCACCTACACAAATGAATTGTTTACTGGTGAGTTTAATGAACACAATAAGAGAATTCGATAAAAGGAGATAAACTAAAAGTGAAAATCGGAATAAAGAAAGCAAAGTTTAGGTATCTGCGTAAAATTTAAATATCACCGTGAACGAGCAGTCGAAATAGTTTTGTATACTGCTCAAATAAATTTGAAATGTTGGAGAAAAATAACTTTTTGCCACCACAGAGTGAAGATGAGAGTGTTGAGCACATTAAACACTCAATTATGTACATGTAGACTGTTCATAACAAGTACATCAATATCATCCCACAATCCAAAGACTAAATTCTGAATCCTGAAAGAAACCTTGACATACTGACATTATATTTATAGCATCTCTTGAATTTTCGCGCAAAATTCATTCATCCGTATGGCTACAGCGTGTTTCTAAATTATACCTGGTGTTAGTTCGAGATGGTAATATTGATTCTAAACCTGCATACCAAATTCAAACCAATAACAATGCCGTTTGTCTTAAGAATCCACTTCATTCTTGAATCTTATGTTCGATCCCTAATCGTTTCCATCACTACATATACTGTTACAATATCTACTACTTTGAGATTTGGCCTGACAATCTCACCTCCCTAAAGTAACGTAGCATGGAAATTTGAACTGATGGTCAAGTATATACAATACATGTCCTAATCACTTAACCCGAAAAATGATCAATATCAATCAATTCACTAAGAATTAGTGAAATGGATCCTAATATCATCTGCTTAAATACAAGTTTTGAGTATTAGAACCAATAGTGATTCGTTCTTTTATAACCGTACAATGAAGGAATAATAATGTTACATTTTTGAAAAATAATACGAAATATACACTTTAATGTACAACGTGACTGATCATAAGAAATTAAACTACTATTGTCCTTCACTTATTTAGTGAAATATTATTACAAGACTTTAAAACTTGATAACTTTTAAGAGTAATTGAAATTCGCAAAATATCTTTAATAAAAACAACACTAATTTAGCCTTGATTTGTACAGTGATTTATAATTTATTTATACGAAAGTAGTGAACTTTTATTCGGTAAAAACGCCGGACAATCGCTTTTCGTTCGATCAATTTCTTAAACAAACATGCCACGAGAAGGCAGTGAGTAAGACTTCCCTGGCAGTGGCTATATACGTGTAGAATTATGAGAGTATTTTGAGAGGGAGAGAGAGAATTCTCCTTACTCTAGGTCGTACCAGAGTATTTAGGAGTAGAAAGCGAGAAATGACTGAAAACAATCGAAAACACAGCATATCTAGGATAGTGAGGAAACTAAAGAACCCCCATGAAATATGGATAAGCGTCGTAGTGTCATTACTACTGTACAATGCAGTTCACGACTAGCATTTAGAGATTTTTAATTAAAACAATTTTCACGACAACACAAACACATATGATTTGCTAGAATAATGCTTGCAGAAATATATTTCCTCAGTAAACTGGCCTCTCTTAAAGATAAAACTTGTATAATTCAGATCCACGGATGAATAATGAAAATATAAAACTAGCAGGCACAATTATAAGACTAAATATCCCAACGGCTAACCTAAACATAATGTTATGCAGGACGATCTGTCCTATTTTATCGCGCATTATACCGTTAGTACAATCAACCCCGTTACTCTTTCCAAGTTATGAAACTGTCTCTAGTTCTCTAGTGGCTAACATGAAGCATCTTTTGAAAATAATCACAATACAAAAATAAGAATAAATTAATTTACTTTGCCTATTTCGTTTATGTCTATCAATATGATCTTTAAGTTGAATTCGAATTTGTCGTTCATTTGGTAAATTTGTAATAAATTCATGTCGAAATAATTCTGATGTATTTGGACGTTTATGAAAATCTTTAGTTAAACACTTATTAACAAAATCATGAAATCTTGGTGTCCAATGTCGAGATCCATTCGGTGATTGTTTTAGTCGAGGTGGTGAATTACGCATAATTAAAAACAGTGCACGCATTGGATGCATTTCACATAATGGTGGTCGACCTTCAGCCATTTCTAAAGCTGTAATACCCAATGACCAAATATCTGAACGAGCATCATATGTACAACTGGAGTCCTGTTCACAGTGTATCACTTCAGGCGCCATCCTATTAATTTCAAAAAACAAATAGCAGAAAAAAAAGCAAAATAACCTTCCAATAAAATGTAATAATAATAATAATAATAATACAATAACGATTGTGATTGGAAAAAAAAAGTTATTAGCAGAAATTATTCAGTTGACTATATCTTCAAAAAGAGAAAATCTCACTCAATCAGATTATATAGAATAAGGATGAAAATTAGGTTAACAATATCGACCAACAATTAGTAAGGAGTTTATTCTACAAGGTTAACTATTTCTACCACAATCATAAGATGATTACCAACCATCAATTTATTTTTAAATAACTTTACTAAACAACAATTTTGTATAACAGTCCATCCACTTCAAAATATGATAATCTAATAAAGTAGTGAGAGAAAAATCATTTTACAGAAAAAATACTCATCCAAAAATTTTCGAAAAAAAAAATATGGAGAAAAATAAACATATCGGTAATAGGCAATAAAAACGCATAAGATACAACAGAGTAAAATAAAGTCAGTTAGCTGGTTTAATTAATAATGATTTCAAGTGAAACATTTTAAATATTTTGCACGCATCGCTAATTCTTTTCTTACAGATCTGACACATAGAAAACTTACAATTCTCTATTTGATTAGGGAAACATAATGAATAACCATAGAGATCTGTGATTTGTTATTAGTTAACCAAACTAAAATGTTTTTCCTACTAAATTCTAAAAGCAGAACATGGTTAATCTCTTGTTGCATGTGTTTTAAAAACTAATAATCATCAAACATGTACATTTCATTTGCATCTTTCTCTTTCAATAGCGGTACAAACATAACACATTGCTGTCATATGACAGTTTCAAATAGACAATGGGAATATTTGTAATTTTATGCAGATTGTAAGAACAAATAACTGAGTTACATTTTTAACCAAATATAACAACAGAAAAACAGTATCAAAATAGACTACCTTAACCATTAGATTTGTTGATGAGTTAGTAGTAGTCAGTTACAACGTAGAACTTGGTACGTAAGTACATCAGTTCAGGTTACCATACCACGTTAGCACAGAGACACTATTGTCAATTCAAATCCCATAATAGTAGATATAGTTAAAGTATTACTGGTAATAGAGAAGATTAGGATTTGAAGACATTATTCAAGAAGTAGATTTGTTGATGAGACTAGATTGTTGTGCAAACAATTCGGCAATCATACAACTACGCACCAACACTGTAATTATATAATTTAGTTTACAATCTCAATTAGTAATAACCATCAATTAAGTTTAGATTCTTGTACTCCGATTCTTAATAAGTGAATATAAAAGTTATCTGACTGCTTACTTAAACTGAAATAAAGTACGAAATTTGCCAATGAATGAAAAAGTCATGAAAAATTCAAAGGTTATATCACACTTGAACACTACAATTTCACTAAAATATATATCCGAAGACACTAATCTAGTGTGGTGTGCGCTACTTATAAGTAGTATATGACGCGAGTGTAAACGTAATGTCTGGCAGCAGAAGATGGGGGAAGATCAAGAAAGGAACAAGAGTGGGAACACAATGGAATCTGTATGAAACGCATGAATAAGTGAAATGTCAGACAATGGATTGATGATTGATTGAAGATTTGCAAATTAACCGTTTACGATATGGTTTTTCTATTTTACTGAGTAACTCTGTAATTTTCGTTAAATACAATTCGGTTGCCCCACCTGTGTACTCCTTCACTACACTAGTATCGTCTTATTATCAATAAGTTAATATAAAACGATAAAGATATTCTTTCCTTTGAACTTATATTCATATTTCAATTCACTAGTTCTCTTATTCTGTCTTTGCTTTGTTACAGTTGTGAGAGAAAACAACTCAAACTCAATAATCAGATAAACTCAATGCGATCTTTTTAACTTATCATATGCAATGCTTGTAAACAATCTAGTCAATGGTTATGTTTGTAACTAAAGTTAGGTCATGACACAATTTAACCAATCAGATTTCACATTACTGAAATGAAAATGAATTTTTTTTTAAATAAAAAAAATAATACAAAGAATTAAGATTGAAAAAGACACATTTTTTTTTTGGTTGCTAGTAATTGATAATTACAAAAACAAAATGCAGGAAATGATGATAATCAAAACAACAACCATCAAAGCTTATACATTTTTATCTATACATACATCTATAGACAGAAAGTTTACAACACTACGACAGACACTAGATTTATTGATGAAAAAAAAATAACAAACTTTACAAAAAAAAAAAACAATCCGTTTCCATACTGTTTCTTTTTTTTTTTTAATTTAATGAAGACAAAGAAGAAGATGATTTAAAAATGTTCAATAATCCCATATTAAATGTCATAGAGACTTTTTCTAAATAATATAAATAAATAAATGATGAAATAAGTTTTATGTAAATCTTATTATTTATTATAAGGTCAACTTATTATAATACATAAGCATAATATTGATTGAATGCGTAACCGGTTATACAGGCATTTTAAATTAGTAACATTGTTTCACATTTTGATGAAATCACATTGATTGTGCAATGATGTATACATAGAGAGAGAGGCCTATGCATATAGAATAGCATATACCAAAAAAGACATTATTGAAAATCAACATTCAGTGAAATCGATTACATGAATATTTTTCAAAAAAACAAAACACAGTTTATAAGTATCACCATGTGAGATGGTCTTGATTATTGTATCCTAAAGAGAAAAAAAAGCCATCGTTCAATGTGAAGTAACACAACGTGGTAGGTTCTATTTGTAAGCATGTGAAATAGAAAAAAAAATCATGACATAAAGATCATGAAAGGCTATATGTATAAAACAAATGACGTTTATCAACAATTTAATTGAATGCGACTAAAGTGATAATCATTAGAATAGTAATATCACGCTAAAAAAAGTTAGAACAATTATCAAAGTATCAGAGTAAGGTATTTAGAATTTTTAAATAAACAACTGTGTTTGATATTTATTTATATTCAGAGAATAATTTAACTAAGATAGCATTTTTATGTTCTTTGTGTTTCAGTGATTACTACTAAATGTAAAAATGAGAAATATTCATTGTAATAGTTCCTATATCCTACTTTGATCGATCGCATTCATCAATGTTGATTTGAGAGGCAACAATACCGGTTAACAGATTCACAGGAATTGATTTCCAATTTTAAAAATTAACTGTAAAGCTAGATCACAGAGACCATAACACACATACATGTAGATAACCAAATTTCGTTTGTGATATGCTCGTCAACTGATATGCTTAAAACTATTACGAATTAACCTTACTCGTCAAACGGAACGAAGATCAATGATTCCGTGATACGATAAGCTTTTCTGATTTGATTGTCCCCGGCCCCGCTAACTACAGCAAGAAGAATTGATAAAGCGCAGAAAGTGTATTCTACAAGCACCCAGAAAATATGAGGTTAACAAGCACACAAATCCAGTTTATCTATACATGATAGAAACGTCCTTGGGAGAGCCACAAAAATAATCGATCAACCAATGACAGACAAGGATTTTCCAAGAGTGGGATGTAATCTCAAGGTCAACCGAGCAGCCCATGCGCGAAAACACAAAATCCAAAATTAGGACATTTTCAAGTGAGTTCTAGGGATCTAACGTCCCCAACAGTTTGGTATTCATGAGAATTATGCGCTGCTAAGCAAGCACTTGTAACAGATAAGATTTTCAGAGGATACTAACAAAAAAACTATCATTCTGAGATGGTGGAGAAAACTTGTAGCTCAGGTTGATGATTGTGGTGGTGTTTCGTTCTCTGAGCTGGTTGTTTTGGTTGTGGAGCTTTTATTGTTCTCCTGAACAACATCATCAGCACAAACTTCAGATAGAAGTGAAGCATTCGAATTTCTCCACGTTTGACCTTTAGCTTGTTCTGCTAACCTCGATCTTGATTGGTTGCTGTTGACATTTGACCTGTCGTTGTTTGCATTGTCGTTGTTTTGATTGCACCCCCTTTTGATCTGTTTCTTGATCCTATGTCACCAATGATTTTTCTGATTGGTTGATAAATTGAGTCAGTGTCGATGTGTTTGTTGATTGTTGATGGGATCACCAATATCAGGACTCATCGCCGAAGCTGTAATGCAGAGACTGGAAGCGTCGATTCTGCCAGTGATCAAGCCAAAATTGTGGGTTCGCTATGTAGACGACACATCCGTTATTATCAAAAGGAATGAGCTGGAGAACATCTACAATCGGATCAACAACGTCTTCGATGACATCAAATTCACGATGGAAAAGGAATCAAACAACAGCCTACCATTCCTGGATGTACTAATCACCAGAACTAACACAGGAAAACTAGAAACTCAAGTTTTTCGGAAGCCAACCCACACAGACATAATTCTCAACTACGATAGCAACAACCCAAGAACCCACAAGATCAACTGCATACAAACTTTGTTCAAGAGAGCGAAGACACACTGCAGCACATACGAAGCATTAAAAAACGAGGAAAAACACCTGATGACTATCTTCGAAAAGAACGGCTATCCACGCAACTTCATCAAAAAACATCCACCAAAACCATCATCAGAAGCGAAATCAAGCACAGAAACAAATAAACGCATCATCCTACCATACAACAAAGACATATCGGAGCATACAGCACGACTACTGAAACCATTTGGAATAGGTGTAGCACACAAACCAACAGAATCACTTCAATCAATCCTATGTAGACCAAAGGACAAAATGACAAAGGAAGAAAAACCGAATATCATCTACAAAATAAGTTGCTCAAACTGTGAAAAACACTACATAGGACAAAGTGGACGACCTCTTTAGCTCCGTTTACGTGAACAGGATCAAGAAACAGATCAAAAGGGGGGTGCAATCAAAACAACGACAATGCAAACAACGACAGGTCAAATGTCAACAGCAACCAATCAAGATCGAGGTTAGCAGAACAAGCTAAAGGTCAAACGTGGAGAAATTCGAATGCTTCACTTCTATCTGAAGTTTGTGCTAATGATGTTGTTCAGAAGAACAATAAAAGCTCCACAACCAAAACAACCAGCTCAGAGAACGAAACATCACCACAAACTATCATTCTCATAAAAAAAATATCTATCAAATAAATTGTAAACGAAAAGCATATTATATAACAAATTGTGATCCAAACAAATGCAAAAAAAATCAATCCAAATGAATTTGTTACTCGACATGAAATAATTTTCTTTAAAAATAACCTTTATATAGATGCACCCCATGTGTAAATATGAAATAAATAAGACAAAATTAAAAAAAAAAGATAAATGAATGTTTTAAATCTATTTTGAACGTGAAAGAGAAAAAACCTCAACAACAGAATCTGAAATTATAAAGGAATCTAGTTAGAAAGTGGAAGTACAGGAAAATTTGCTATTCAAGTAAACAAGTTGGAGTTGTACTACTCTGTATTTATTTACCGTAACAAGAACTCAATCTTAACATATACACCAAATTAGCATATAAAAAGTAGTCACAGCTCTAATCAGAAAAAATTGTATACGTGGTTATTTTGTACAGGAAAAAATAAACAGTAATGCATAATTTCTATCTTAGAATGCATCATAGGCTCATCAATAATAGAGAATCTCAAAATTTTTAGATGATATAAATTATGTGTAATTTCATTTTGTTAGATAACACAAGCGAAGAAAAAGAAGAATTTTACCAAACAAAAAAAAATAGAAAAAACTAAAATGAGAAACATGTGACTTCATGAAATATTTAATAATTCTAGTAGCAGTAGAAGAAATGCAAAGTAAATAATCATGCAATGTATTTGTACTACAATAAAAAAAAGCATTATTTTACGGTAAAAAAAAGTTGTATACATGAGATCAGTCGGGAAACATTGATGTGAATTTTTAAAAAAATTAGTCGGAACAATAACTGATCATATTTCTCCATGTTAATAACTCCGCCTGGAGCCCCTCTGGGGCTACTACTGCCGGTCCCAAGCCCATATAAAGGAGGAGGGTTGGGCGCGGGGTCGGCGGCCCCATCCCATAAAAATCAATTCAAACCACGTTCATAAAGCCTAACAGCATAATAGTTCACTGGGATAAAATCTTTGGGCATCAAAAAACTCATTCAAAACAACAATCGATAAAATGGAAACACGTTGAAAAGAAACACAGAAAAATAGGAGCTATGCTGCGACAAAAGATTTGATAAAAAGTTAATCACGGATAAAACAATTGAATAGCAGCAATGTTTGGTGCTTTTTTGAGCCCAACTACTCTCATTTAAATTGTCGTGATTCAATAGCTTAATAAAAGTACCAGGTGAAATTTTAATGGTCAATGTCATTAAAATAACTAATGCTAACTGTTTCTTGTTTTGAAATTATATAACTTAAATCAATCATAACAAACTTGGTGAAAATAGTTGATTAGCTAATTTCATAAACTTGAAAAACTTTTTCATTTTTGATATTGAAACTAGTAACTTAATCTAGGTGATAATAATAGTGAACACGTGTTGCAAACATTTTAATCAAATCCAGGCTCCAAAATATACACAAATATTCTCGTTTGCCAGGAATTTCAAATGTAATTAAGAATTTTAATGTGAATTATCAAATATATATATATAGCTTGATGCATTCGACCTCATAAACTGAAGTAGTAGGTGTTAGAAAGGTCAAATCACTTGTAATCAATATGAAAAATAAAAATACGAATCCTTTCATTCATCAATCTATAGTCAATCTAAAACTTAGACAGAGTATTACCTACTTAACAATAGAATTTTACTACAGTTATCTGAATCAAACAACTCTAGTTGTCTTATAATACAAACCATTTTAGTGTTTTAGTACAATACAAGTGTAATAAGATGAACATTTGTATATAATTGTAAAATATAATAACACTTGGATCATGTAAATATATATAACATTACCAGCTAGCTTAGTTTAAAATTCATTATACACTTGTACGCTAGATAAAACTATATAATACACCTGTCGATCATTATAAACTAGATATAATATGTTCAGTTTTGTTATATACATGAAAAAAATGGATTGTATTATTGCCAATTTATTATAAATATTTATTGAATAATCAACAATCTGATCACATTCTATGAATTCTCTCTTATGAGAACTAATTGGAAAGAGATTATTAAATGATGTTTAGCATATAAAGTGTTTTGGAAAATTATGAAGTCTAGGTAAAGACAATTACAAGTATCCTAATGATTATTTACCCAAAAAATGTCAGAAATCCATGAAGTTAATGACAAATGGACTGAGTCATGTTGGTAGATGTAGACTACCTGATTGGAGTCCGCAAGATGATAGTAACCGATGATTAGAGACCTTGAACGACATGGCTCGAAACTGTTTGCAATGGTGCAGGTGCATTCACTCTTTGTGTTCTCTGAACTTCTCATCACTTCTATCTTTTTTCATCTAATGTTATCTCAATAAATTATACTTCTTGAATAATATCTTCGAACCTTAATCTTCTCCATCACCACCTAATAATTTCACTATCTCTAACACTACCGAGATTTGAACTGACAGTTGCGTCTCTGTGCTAGTATGGCATGGTCACCTGAACTTATGTACTTACGTACAAAGATTTACCGATAACATTGAGGAACTGATATATATATATATATATATATATATATATATATATATATAATGATATTATGATATTTATTTTTCTGATTACACAAAAAAAGACCCCCAACATACCAGTAAGGAGTGCCAATAAATGTATTCCGTTTACCGAATGTTTTGTCCAATTGTGCACTCACTCCAAAATCAACTGACATAAAATAGCAATAGGAATGAAAAATAAATAATATTTCAATTCAAAACATTAAACTCAAGTAATCACATTTAATAAATAGAAATTAGTTTATTAGCACAGGCTGACAAATCTCGAATGAAAAAATAGAATGCTGTAAGATGTATCCAAGTAGATAATTACGTGATATTTAATATTCGATAACCTCACTATTTGTTATTCAGCTACCTAATAACGTATTCAGACTCAATTCCACTTATTTCGATCTCATGATATATCGTTTATTATTAGTTAGTATATGTAACGTTTAAATTACTTTACGTGAACAATTATTTCTGATTGTAAAATTATATAATATGGTTTACTTAATTTAAATCATAAAAAAAATCAAACATCTAAGCTCTTTGCTCCAGATGAAGAGCTAGGCGAGTTATATACACATAAAGAAAACACACTAACTAACCAACAACCCAGAGAATTTTACTATAAAAATATGATGTTGAATAAAATGTCTAAAAAATGGAAGTAAATTGAAAATATATATTTACTGAACCGAGTTAAAGGCAATCAGTCAGTCAGTAGTCATACGCAACGTAGAGCCTTGAATAATATCTGCGAACCCTAATCTTCTCCATAACCGATAATATTTCTACTATCTCTACCACTATAGGATTTGAATTGACAACTACTCCTCTCTGTGCTAATAAGATATGACAACTTAAACTCATATACGTACATACGAAGTTCTTCATCATAGCTGACTGACACATGCGTACATCAATTCAAGTTGGCACAGCCCGCTACCACAGAGAGATGAACTTTTCAGTACAAACCCTGGGGTAGTAGAAGCAGTTACAGTATTATGGACGTCTGACCATTGGTTACGAGAGTCACGTGGTATCAACCCATAAAAACCAAAACGTTTATTTTCGAGTATCAATTGTGCGAGAATTTCTCATGCACGTTCCCTGTGTATAGTGAAATATACAATATTAGCTCAACAAACCAGCAATACTAACACGATATCATACATATAGTCCTATCAACCAACAAAACTGGTACCGACTAGGTCATTGATATACATAGAGAGGAACTGTAGGCGATTAAAAGCAAATCTCACCAGAGCTAATAAAACTTTCAAGGTAAGTGAAATGACCAGCACATTCAACCACTTCACTCCCTATAACTTGTTCAGGTATTGACATAAACCAGCCCTCAAGCAACAGTTTGCATTTAACGGGAGAGAGCATACACTGTTATCCAAACAGAACATTCTGCACTTTATCAACATCTGTATCAAATCAAGACTGTATCATATTTATTGATTTGATACAGATGCTGATAAAGTGCAGAATGTTCTGTTTGGATACCAGTGTATGCTCTCTCCCGTTAAATGCAAACTGTTGCTTGAGGGCTGGTTTGTGTCAATACCTGAACAAGTTATAGGGAGTGAAGTGGTTGAATGTGTTGATCATTTCACCGATATATATATATATATATATATATATATATATATATATATATATATATATATATATATATGAAATTGTTATCTCTACAAGAATTTCTATGACTTGGTTAAATAACGATGGAAACTGACCAACCCTAAAAAACAACACTTGAAGTTGAATATAAACTCTGATTACACTAATTGCTTAATTTAAAAGCTTTCATAGAGTTTATATGCTTCTTTGATACATCTCTCAAAAACAGAAATTACCAGAAAGTTTCTTGATCAACAGAGTTGAATGCAACCTAAAGCTTATGAAGTATGCTAGTATTTTAAAATCTGGTGAAAAGTGAATATTTGGTCAATATATGCACATCTAATCTGAAACCAGGTTAGTTTTCTTATTTCGCATTGCACGAAATCAATTAAAGCATCAGATTACTATTGAGGTCAATATTTTAGACAGTATGTAGGTCAAACTGATCCTTCAGTGCTTATTATCACAAAAGAATTTTAGACTTTTCTTATCAACTCCAATAATAAGTGAACGAAATCAGTCAGATAAAATTACATCCAACTCGGAAGGTAGTAAGTATAATTGCAGATGATGAGTATCTGAGGTATATAACTTATTGATATTACAGACCAGTACAATTAGCCAGCAATTTATTGTTTGTAGTTTTATTACACTCTAATCAACCGGTTTATAGTATGGCAAGATATTAAGGAACAAATGATCTGACCAACAGTTCGACTGATTCATCACAATATGCAAGCATGACAATCATTTCAAGATAACAGCTACTAACAGCATTATTATTATCAGTGATCGACATTTTATGAAATATCTAAAACTTTAACATACACGACTAATGTTAGTGGATAGAAAAATCAATACATATCAATGATAGTATAATTCCAGAGAAATATGAACAAGTTGAAGTAAGTAAACATTTTCTTTTTGTATGCTTATTGGTATGTTGAAATAATTGAAAATCTCTACAAGATGATAAAAAGTATAAACAATATCACTGCCACTTCTATAATCACCAATATCATAAACAGCAACAATAATAATAATAATCATAATAATAATAACAGTAATAATAATAATAGTGAACTTACCAAGTTTCACTTCAGCATTATCAGTGAGCAATACATTTTGACCTTTAATATCTCGATGAATCACACGATTGGCATGTAAATGCATAAGACCCTAAATGTAGGAAAGTAAGTTGAATTTCATTTTAAGTCAATATAATTTTTAAAAAATAAATAGTATATGTATGTCGAAGAAGAAAAAAAATATATACATACACATATTCTACGTTAACCCAAAATCAAACCAATGACCTATCAAATGTAGGTCATAATATAATTTGAATAAATTATTGTCAGTTAAAGAATTTTTAATTCTTGAAAAATTTTTCTTTATAAAATGAAGACAGATTATGAAATCATAACAAACTGAAAGTTGAAAAGAAAAAAAAACCAATAATCGGATTATTATAAATCTATGTATGTCTCAATCATCTCAAAATTCATCATTAGTTGGAATAAACAAACAACAGCTGATTATTATAAAAATAATAATCACATGTAGTAAATGTTTTGTTTCTTTTTTTCATTGGAATAAAATGAGAAACCAAATAGTGAAAACAAATAGTTTGATGAATTATATTTCATTGATGTATTTTGTTAGAGAAAAGCTATTGTGATTTTGAATACCATAATAGATTAGCTGTGATAATAAGTAATTTACCAGGGGTAGACGACAGAAACAATTAGTTCAGAGATGTAAGACTGATTAACCAAGTGTACTACAGGTTTCATTTGTAAGCGTTTGTACTTTCCCATTGTTGATATCAAGGACAATGTTCTTTCGACATATGTGAACCCTGAGTAAACTGTCTCGATATTACCAATAGGTCATAAGTATTTTTAAGCTATGGTTGATGCACATATCAAAAAAGAAACTGATTAGTTACAATCATTGATAATAACAATCAGAAAACTCAAACTATTATAAATGAAACATCCTTGTTGCAAAAACCGATAACTATTTGCACTCAAGGTCTAAGTGGATAAGGAGTAGAGTGTTCGGGGAGAAAAATATCAGATTCAAATCTTAGTGTCAACATCAATCTAAGTTTACAAGCACATTCTGCTGATAAGGAAGAAAAGAGTATTCTCGATTCCATTGCTAGGTACCGACATGTAGTAGATTAAAGGCAGTTTAGCAAATAAAATCTTTTTATGACGAGTTCATTAACTTAAGCTGTACAATCGTATTCATAGCTGATACCATTTACGAACTTCCTATTTCTAATGGTGAACAGCAGAATTACTTTTAGAAAAAAACGTAAAATTGTGAAGATCTCGCGATATTTGAAGCATTAGCAGGTGTAGCTGATTAACCAAATCACTTTGATATATTTATCAATGGTTGTAAGACAACTGAAAAACTTAGACAAAACAAATAATAGAATCATCTATATACATTGAACTAGATTTGTTCCTATGAAATTCATAGAATTGTGAAAAACGACTCTAACACATAATGAAACGCTCATTTTAAATTCTTCTAACTACCAGTCAACTGTGCTTAAATTAGTTTTGTCATCTGATACTTGAGAAATGTTGAAAAATAAAACGCTCCAATAATCCCATTCTCTATTACCGTCAGCTGTTGTTCATGTACAAGTTGAATATCCGCAACTAATAATTAATTTGTGAAAGCATAAAATTGTATTGATTCAATACAATGTGTGTATATAAAAATATATTGAACAATTGACTATTATCGATGTCCATCTTTAGACATAATAAAAGTGTTTCACATAAACCTTTAAACCATTTTAACTAAATTTATAAACTAAATTAGTTAATTAACCAACAGTTTTGATGACAATGATCATAAGTACACTAAACATTATAAAGACAAAAATATAACATAATAATAATAATAACAATTTGAATTTATTATGTATAACAACCAGTGAAATATGAAGATAAATCTTTCATTTAAAAAGTTCCCATGCTAGTTTCATTTGACCAATGTTTTTTTAAATTCTATGATTTATCACTCACTATGTAGATTCTATGATACCTTCAAGTTGTGTATTTTAAATCAATACGAGCATAATTAGTATTGTCTTAAAAAATAAAAGACAAAATTTTTTTTGAAAGACTATAATCTTTCTCCCCACAAAGTATCATAATAGTTTCTGATCTTCATTTCATACTGTTAAATACTAACAAGTTAGACAAAATATACACAGAGCATGTGACTTCAATTGTAGCCGTTGAAAGTAACCATAATTAATGATTTTATCAATAGGAATTAATAAAGTTACTCATTAATCATACAGTATCATAAGACGCAAGTGCATTATTAAATGTCTGAAGAAATTAATTAAAAAAAAACTGATATTTTTTTTATAGTTTTACAAGTTTTACAACCAACAAGTAGGCTTTCCGTTAGTCAACACCAAAATCAAAATCGCAAGTAATAATGTCAAATAAGTAGCGATCATGTTGTAATGGGATCATCATTATGTACAATCGTTGTTGATTTCATTCTGGTAAAATTAGAAACCGATCTTTTGAACTATGTAACAAGTAAGTTGAAATTTTAATGTCGCTTTGTGGATGAAACATTTACAGTTACAAAAAAAAAACAATAACGAAGCTCAGAGCATACTAGAAACACTCAAAAAAAATTCACCGGAGAAGCACTTTCATAATAGAAGGGAAATATGACACCATTTCCTTAATAGACGTCCTATTGACGAAGAGAACTAAGAGAATAGTGAGAAGAAATATTCATCATGAACCGACTACACTGCCAATATACATAATTTTCGAATTTTGGCTTATTCCAATAGAACAGTCAAATTTCTAGCCTATAGAGACAAAATTATTTGTTCTGAGGAACTATATAACCACGGATATCTAACAAGGCACCTGATGAAACATGGTGAATTCACTTGGTATTAGTCATCAGGTAAATCAAACTTAAGCATTCAAAGTTATTGATAAAATCTCACCGAATTCAACTTATTCATCAAGAATCTGACTCTTACATACAACAGAAGCCATAGTTTATACAGCCTCTGAATTCACCTAGACCTTCTACTCAGATACTATTACTCGTTGCAAAACTTCTGCTTTCTCTTCTTCGAAAACTTTCCGAATTTTGATCTTGCTAACATTTTAATTTCTAATTCTAAGCTTACAAAACCTGTTTAACAAACTCGCTGTTTAATTTTTATTATACCCTTCCTACTGATTACTTTGTATTCATATCTAATATCGATTTCTGTTTCTACCCTTAAAAAATTAGTTGTGATAATTCACTGATGATGGAAATCCACCTACATTTTAATTTCGCCATAATTTGTTAATAAATGATGATGATATTGTTAAGTCAATTGAACACCATTTATTTGTGGTCGACGTTTTACTCATTTGTAAAACCTATATATATTATTGTAGAGCTTTGATGAAGAAATAACTGAAAAGAAATATAGCTTCTCTCAGTTTATCTTGTTCATATCTTAAATATATATATCTCAAATCAATAAGCAGAATATCATTTTAGTTTAAGGAATATTTATTGAAGCAATATAGAAAAGATTATTTTAATACTACTGAACATTTTTCTAATGTATATGGACTTGAAATAACGATATATTTACAGTAGACAACAATAACATACGATTCATAGCATAATTGAAATAAAGTTAATCTATGAGACCGAAGGTCTTGGGTTCGATTCCCGCGGGCAAGGGTTATGGATGTGAACTTCAATGAAACTAAACAGTTTCCACAACCCTATAATGATGAAATTAAAACCTTGGAATTTGTTAAATTTCTTCAAATAACTAAATGTATCTAAGTGTTTAAATATTCAAACAAACAAGAATTGATAATGTACTCGTCTTTTTACTTAACTTATATAATGAAATAAAAATAGCCAAATTTTTTCTTCTACTATTTACATCAGAAAACTTAAATAATTTCATTTTTATTCAAGGCATTTTTTTGTAAATCTGTCCAAATAAAAACATTGAACAAGTGTCTATGTTAATCACTGACTGATGTGAGAATTCAGTATTTCTGTCTAAAAACAAAATTGATTTTTCATCAATTCTCAATCTAAGTGTTTAAATTTCTAAAGACTAGTTTTTCTTCAATCATTTCGGTGAATAATTTTTTTTCTGTTTTATGATTTCAACATTAATTTTAATTAAACAACACATTTTTTTTTTATAATTAATTCCTAATTAAAATTATCTTGTAAGCTTAATACAAAAACAAGATGAAGTAATTTTGTGTTAAAGCAAAAAACATTTGAAATTTATTTTAACGAAAAAAAAAAAACAACTACTATAACAACAAATGTTCAATACAAAATGAGTTAATCATTTATTTGCTTATTCTGCTTTGAAATGTTATTCCTAATTAATTGAATCACAATTGCAACAATAACATTCAAATATTAACAAAAGACAGACTAGTTCAAGATTGAATTCAAATACACATATACTTATAGGTCAATTTTCCGATAGTGAGGATTTTAGTTTATTCGCTATAATTTATAATCACCGCTTAACATATTTCTGTATACAGTATGTTTAGTTATGCATATATATATATATATATATATATATATATATATATATATATATGCATATATACTGGTTTTATTGCTGAGAAACATGAAATGACTGTGTGTTCTATTATTGATTAAAAAAGATACATATATATGTTCTAAGATAGTGGTTAAGTTGTATTTATATTCAATTACTTAGTATAACTAATAATAATCTACTTACCCGGAGAATTTCTCGACTAATATAAGCAATCCAATCTTCTTTGAGTGATTTAGTTCGAGTACCTGAAATAGTAGCGGAAAGAATGTGATAACATAGCAACGATTCATGCAAACAAATAAATCACGTGCACTGAAAACAATAATTTTTTAAAGAAGTACTCTTAAGTAAATCAACACCAAAACTTATAAAGAAGTAATATCCTAAAAAAAGAGTATAAATACAAAAGATATGAAGTGAAACTGTGAGAGAGGTGGATACCACTGTATACTTTGGCTGTATCACTAACAAACAAGGAGGATCTGATGCAAATGTGAAGGCAAAAATTAGCAAAGCAAGGTCAATATTCTTACAATCGAAGAATACCTGGCACTCAAAACAACTGTTAACCAAGATTAGCCAGAATGCATAACACTGACTTTAAGAGTTTTATTGTATAGAGTCGGAACTAAAAAAAACCACAACCTTTTTCGGAATAGTGCATATTTTGATATACAGCTGTTGACACGGAAACTTAATGCATACTGGCAAGAAACCATCAACAACAAGCTTTACGGCAGAGATTAAGCCTGATGTTCACTGAGGAGGAAATCAAGAAAAGGAACTTAGGGGAAAAAACTCGCAACCATCAACCTGTATCACAAGGCAAGCCTTGAATTCGAATCCTCAAGGAAAAAATAAAGAAGGCAGATCAAAGAATACACGCTATCAAAAATTGGGAGTAGACATCAAGATCATGAACACCATTTGATAGTAACTTAAAAGAGGCCCAGGGTAGAGTTGGGTGGAGATCCTTGCTAGATGATCTATGACGGAATGTAACTTACGGAGAAGTAAAGAACAGATGGAATATATATATTTAGAAAAGAAACAGTTTAAAAAATATGTACACATGATCTTCAAATATCCATTTCAAGTGCAATCAGGTTTTTCACTGACTTTTCTTATCTCTTCTTGTCTTAAATAAACTTTGGTCGCGTCACGCATTTTGATCTCCAGACATTTTTCTCTGGTAGCAACTTTTAAGCGACGCTCTGCTATGTATTACATATATGCCACCTTGTGAGTAACATACAACACACCAGGATGAGTAGCAGGCCTAAACAAGTAAGTGGTATATACGCATATAACTAACATAATAAATCCAAATCAGTAACTATTTGTATGTTTCTTCCCTGAAGTCCAAGCCACACTTGTTCGTTCAAACACTGGCAGTTAGTTGCTGAAACCACGATAAGTAAATTGATATTAGCACGAGTAGTTTGCTGAATAAAAGTCATATACTTACAACAGTGAGCAACAGCTCAATGTATACTTCGCTGAAATTATCTGCTTCGTGATCTGAGCCCAAATCCTACCTCGTGCATCACTTCTTCCACTCCTAATGAGTGCAAACTAACACAAAAGGTTGACGGCTTGCTGTTCTCTTCGACCACCTCAGCTTCCTAAAACTTGTAGTATTAGTGGATAAAAATAGCCATTTCAAAGTCAACAGTCCCAAACAGTGATTCAAATCAATTTTTGTCAATTCTTAAAGTTGATCATTGGAAAAGAAACAAACATGTACAGAACCATTGATTTTTCTAACAAATACACACAAGAAACTCGTCAACTTTAAGCACTTATCCTGAACATAATTCATCTATCCCACCTAACAGTAATGAAACTCTAATCATTTTACACAATAAATTATCAACTCAATCCTTACGTTTTAACATAACAATCGCTACCAGTGATTCATCGCCACATTATATTATTTTTGAATGACTTAATGAATGCATAGTAGAGAATGGAAATTACAATACTTTGACACATTCAATTTTTTTTTAATGACCAAGCGATCATGAAAACTCTGACAGGGTGATAGTTGATACCAAATCTTTTAGAATTTAATTGGAAAGATCATTTAATTTTTTGGCAGTTTAAGTCATGAATGAGTTAGTAGTTAGATGAAATGTACTAATATCCAGTAAATGCAAACTATGGTGACAAACAGTTCATGTAATCTAATATAAAAGATGAAAGGTAAACTGTATTTTGACATCATAGTACCACTAACACCACTATACACTATAGTCACTAGAAATAAATTCAACTACACATTACTATAGTAGTCGATGATCTGTATCTTTAACGAGCTAATTTAGTGTACTCATCAAACCATCAAGAAAACAAAAGTGATTAAAATATACAAAGTTTTACAGCAATGACTATCTAACATGATTTTAACATATATATATAATGCATGCCAGTCAACTAGAGAAATCTTTCCATATGCAGTTTGCAATAATGCAAGGTTAGGCAACGGTTAACGGGAATCACAAGGACTAGGATTTCAATCCAGTTCATAGCGTTATTAACCACTGTTTCCAGTCAGATACGAGACTTGTGAAGCTACGTACATGATTCGAATCCACAAGGTGTATCTGTGATTCGTACTTAAAGACTATAACAATAAAACTGGAAAACTCTGTTTCCTACAGTTCCAATGAATTCATTATTCTTTCTTGACATTTCATATACATTGTCAATCAATAAGCCACTAAAATAAGCTTGTTTTCATGTCTACTTTTTTTTCCCCCTAGTTCTTTGTTTAATGTTGACAATGTAATCGTCTTTGTATTGTGTTTTCGGATTTGTTTTAACCAGTATATAAAATAAAGAAATATGATGAGAATTTGAGTAACAAAGAAACAGATACAAACAAGATATAAATTATTATTATTATTATTATTTCTATTTATTCTAATAGTGTGTTAAAAAAAAAACAACTCACTTTTTATCAAGTCAGCAACTGATCCAGCACCACAATATTCCATAGCAAGCTTGAAATGATTTTATTTTATTTTTTGAAGAAAAAAAAACAAATAGTTTATTTTATTAAAAATAAAAACAAACTCAAATAATGGAGATGTTTAAATAAACAAAGAAGGGTTAGTTAGTTAGTTAGTTAAGAGAAAACAGAATCAACCAAATAATAGTAATCATCAATGTACTCCATTATATAACTGGTGATTATTTATTATTATTATTATTATGGATTGGAATTCATTATTCTTACTTGGAGGAAATATGAGACAAGACTATGGAACTTGATGTATGTAATTAGTATTGTTGTTGTTGTTGTGAGTCATATGTTAATCATTCCCAGCAAAAAAGGACTCAATAGAATTTCAATTTTCTTATCCTTGATTAATTTATTTCAGTAATTATAAAATAATTACTAGTATTTATCAAATTATATGATTGATAAATTCACATTATCATGTAATGAATAAATATAGATGATCTTACATATTCTCTATGCTACATACTGTCAATATTTATTATTCACACTTCTCCACATTGCACTTCTCAAATCTGAATGTCACTCAGTAATTTTAAAAATGGAACGATCGGTTATTATTGATGTTTGAAGACGGATCTCAAAGCTAAGAAGTTATACAGTGATGATCTTTTCTACCACAATACGCACCACTAGTCACACTATCATGAGTTTAGAGTAAAGCTTAAATGTGGTTACAGTTAGAGATAAATTATTTCTCGGCACGTTATATCTTTACCTATTCGGGCAAAGAAAGTGTACACACCTAGACATAATGAACACATATTACAATGACACTTAAATTAGTCATTATTTTCCCCTATATCTATGGTTATATACTCAAAATGTATTGTTACAAGTTAAAGAAAGAGAAACAAGTTCTATAGAATAAGTGGAATGCAATTAACAATAGAATCCAGGAGATGTGTTTTGTCCTGTTCGGGTCTCACCGGCTGGGTGGACATGCATTCTAGTGTTGATGTTCACACCAGAATGCAAACCCAGTATCTATCGATTCAAATGCACAACATTTTATCCATTAAACTATTCAGACAGCCACTAAAAAGTGAAACTGGTAAAATGTTTACATCATAATTGGAGAGGGTATCCTTGACTGAATTTCGATCAGTATTTGTCAGCCTATATGTATTCTGTGAAAATGCCTGTATACAGTATCCAGTAAAAATGGGAACTTTATCATGACTTAAAATAGCGAACTAATCTAAGTTAAACCATCATTAGAAATCTTGAATTACTGTACGGCCGTTTTGTCCTAGTATGGGACTCATTCGCAGTACGTATCCACGATCATAGAGCGCAGGAATCAAACCCAAGACCTCCGGTTCCACGTGCGAATGCTAAACCTCTAGACCACTTGATCGGAATTAAAAGGCGTTAATGTCGAACTTCTATCAATCTATGATCTTGCGCAAACTTCATCTACTGCCTGCTCGACACGGACTGAACCCCACTGGTCACGACATCTCACTAAAACTCCAGGAATAAATCATGAAGCTAGTCACTGGTGTACACATGATTGTTATCAATGATGATTTGTGAAGATCGTGATTACAACCATGAAAATACTACAATTTTTACCAGTCCCCTTTATTGGTTTCTTATTTGCCAATAAAATTCTTTTGCTAAGTAGGCATTGACATTAGTCATTGCGTTTATATACTGAATATCTCTCCATCCACCTAAGTAGGAGCAGTCTAGTAATAGTACACAAAGACGAATGAATAAACCTGCATTTCACAAATGAATTACATTTCGGGACCATTTCCGCAGTGACTTTCTGGGTTTTTGAAGGATTATCTCAGCTACTTCGGTATCATCATGGATAGTGAAGTATAACTGATGAAACAGCCATAAATTTGCAATGACACAAAGAGAAAAGATAACGTGAAGCATTATTTGACAATACTGTCCCATTGTCTGCTTTTATTTTCCCCTTTATACTTAATGGGTAATGTTCAAAATAGTAACGCCGCCGACAGTGAAGGGGATAAAATGATGAACATAGTGATTTTTTCAACAAGTAAACAATGGGGAAGAGGATTGAAAACCTGAAATATGTGTCACAAGCTTAGTTTTTTATATTTTCATCATAACACTGAGTGTCTATATGGTATGTGTCCAACACTCACTTACATATGGTGAATCGGATGCACTATGCATGATTGTATCAATGACACACACACAATAGTAGAGGAATGGTAATGAACAAAAATATGTATCTATCGTTATTGATAGAGGAACTGGACAGACATGTTCCACTTTGTCCAAAATATATACACATACTATTGATGAGTCAAGCTATTGATTGATTTAACTTTTTTTTCTATTACAAGACAGGTGGATAAAACGTAGCAGACATAATTGCTATGTATGTACAGTGAAAATATCAGAAGGGAAAAGAAGTACAACCTGGTGACTAATATTTTGTTGAGGCTGCACATACACAACAATGAACAGACTGAAAATACTGGTCGTCTGGTTTAACTTTCAACAAACGATAAACATCAAAATTGATAATCTGGATGAGTTACTCATATCACGAATAGGCTGAGATTTTAAATCATTGGCTTTAGATGGTTTAAGAGCGATATCTTGTAGTTGTATATGTGATATTCAACTATAATGTTAAAAGTAAAACATCATTCAATCAATAACCCAGCAATAAAACCAAAAGACTAGAAAATCAGGCGCTTGAAATGTGTATAGAATACTACAACAAGAATGCCTACTAAACGTGACTTGCGTATGCTTTCCATATTTCGAAGATCACTAAAGATGAGATTAAATGTATCATCCACTGTGTTTATGTATTTTAGCTGTTCTAATGGTCGGTTTTTCATGTTCGAAATAGCTTATCTTCAAGTAAAAGTATCAGTAAGACCATTAACATACATGGAAGGAATAAATATTCATTAGAAAACAAATAGTCGAAGCTATATTGTGGATAAAACATTGTTATTCTGAGAAATAGTTTAAGCTCAACGATAAAAATTTTCCATAAAACCATAACTAAAAGGAATCTCTTATGAAATAAGGAAAGAACTATCTGGAAATTCATTAATACATAGAAATGTCGGTGAAAAACCGATCTTTACCCGCTTTTCATTAAATGATGATGATATTTCAAGAAATAACAAAAAAGGAAACTGACTCAAATGGAATATTCTTCCAATATAAACTAATTTTGGTACACAACATCAAATCTTTATTTAGTCAACTGAAAGTTAGATTAATAATTTTTATCAGATAACACCTTTAGCTGCTTTTCTGAATTTACATGTAAGTAAGTATACACGAAGGATTAAGCAAAGAGTATCCACAACGTTTGTTGACACTCCTCTTTAAAACCTATGCATGGAAAGGAGAAAATTCTCAATAGGCACAATCCCCTAGTCACTTAAAAGATACTAATGTGAAACAACTTATACTTGATCGCTTGATGATGTGTGCCTCATTTATTAACAGTATGCTTTATTATTGATCAGCTGCAACTTTAGCCGCTTCCTCCTTTTATATGATTTGATGTTTACCATTTAAACATTCATCAATTTTAACTAACATGTTACACATGTTGCTTCCTCTTGTTGCTGCTGCCTGTAACGTTCGGTATGTAAAGTGTTTTATATTGATACTACTGATGTAAATTTCAGGCTATTCGTAACTGATGACACGTTTTGAAATAAAATGAATGCATTTCAGTTACATTATTCATTACAGTTATAGTTATCTTCACCTATTTGATTTGTTTAGAACTGAGATTTGAACTCCATTAATTCAAGCATCCCAACCGTAGCTGTTACCTTGACGTGGTGGTCGAGCTTGCTTACCGTGATGACTCAACCGAGCTACATTGAATGGAACATATGTTCCTGAAGGTTCTAACATGCCAGGCAGGTCGATTGGAGAATGATGAGAATAAAAGCGGCTACTCAAGGTCTGAGGGCGAAGTCGTACTGCTGACTGCAGAGGGGCGTGACAGCAGTAAGGTGTTTCCCTCGGAAAACCAGCATCTGCAGCGATGCTGCCTTCTCACAAGAAAGGAAGGGGTTAGAAAAGATCAACCCTAAAATGTCACACCTCACCTTACCTTACGGATTTCTGTCTCCGGCGGTAAGGCCTTCTAAACATGAGCGGAGCTAACATTTCAAAAACTTCTAATAAAAAGGATGTGAGTGACCGGCCTCAAGCAGCTGTCCCTTGGGTTCGACGATTACGTTCTCAGGTCTCTAAGACCAAGGCTAATCTACCTTCCTTTTCCAGCAAGAAACACCATTCCACGGTGTGGGCAGCCGGGAAGTGACATCCGCCCTCATACCTATAACAGCATGCAAAACCAAATTGGTCACAAACAAACAAATCCTTCTTACACAATTCAAGCATACATATCATCATGAGATGTACTTGAAAAAAAACTTGAATTCATTTATAATTCTACATAGTTTATAACTATTATTCTATCTAAACTAATTTCAAATTCAAAAGATTAATTTTCATTATTTCATCTGATTAAGTGATTACACAAAAACTTATTATATAACAGAGAAAAAATGTATCACATTTTTTATAATACCAAAAAAATAGATTCCTGTTACAAATTAATAAAAAAAATTTCTCTGTAAGTAATTAGATTCAAACAAATTGTCGGTGTAAAATAATGAACAATCATAGCATAGTTTTAGTTTAGAATTGTTGTCGCCTGGTTTGTTTTTTTTGTTTTGAAAATAAAAAAAAAGAATCTTACCCAAAGATGATCACGAGGTGAAGATTTTTTAATAAATGCACCATAATAACTGGCAATATTTCGATGATTCGATAACTAAATTATGAAACAAGAAAATATATGATCATCATAAAAAAAAATACAAAATCAATGCGACATAGTTTTAGTAATGTAAAATAAAAAACGAAGAATTTAACAAAACAAATCTTACGAATTATTCATGCTGATTATTGATTCACAAATGAAAATTTGAATAATACCGCATATACACAGGGCATGAGTCAATAACTGCAACAGCGAATAAAAAAAAATAACTGTAATTATTTCAATACATTAACACAAGCTAGTAATAGCAATTGACTAATCAATCAATCAGTCAGTCAGTCAGTTATAACGTAGAACTCCGTACGTACGTACACCAGTTTAGGTTGCCATACCCCATTAGGACAGAGACGCATTTTTCAGTTCAAATCACATAGTGATAGAGATAGTAGAAGTATTAGGGTTCGAAGATATGATTCAAGAGAAGTATAATTCAGTGTGATAACTTAATTAAGAGAAAGATAGAGATGAGGAGGAATCCAGGAAGTTAGAATTTGAGAGAACACAATGAATGAATGCACCTACACCACCGCAAACGATTCTGAGTCATGTCGTTCAAGGCCTGTAACCAATAGTGAATTTCATCTGGCGGACCCTAACCAGGTAGCCTACATCTACATTGTACAACAGTGTCGAATTCAAAAGAATGATTTCAAATAAGAACACTAAGCTAGTTATGGTAATGATGAATCTGAATGTTAAACAAAAAGCAATTATATTGACAAGCAATTCATTTTGCTTCACTATACAAGTATGAAATATAGTTCATTGAAATAGAAAAAAACAATGTATGAAGAGTGATCAAAATCGAAAAATCCACATCAGTTAATGAGGTTTTAGGCAACTATCAATTGATTTTGTGCATACCTATTAGCGCAAAGATTAAAGTGATAGTAGGTTAGACTAGGTTATGATGTCAATCCATAATATTTTTAACTGTTGATCTAGGCTACAAACGAGTTAGTTTACTGCCTGACTGACATCGACAAAGGAGGTTGCGGTTAATATTTGAAAACCTTAAACCAAAGTTATAGTGCAAACGAATCTATCATTTAATCTTTCTTACATCTTATGAGTCCTTCTAATCAATAATCATTGAAAATTTTTGCTTTATTCGTTTTTTTGTATGATTTTAAAGTTCGTCTTTTGTACTGCATCCCCTTTGCGGATGTGATATAGGATAATTGAAACTCCTACATATTCATTTCCGGTGAAAATACCGAAACAACTCAAAAATTCATAATAACTATTCAGTTGGATCGTGTAGTTAACTTAGTAACTTGTGTCGACAGAATGCAAGAAAGCAAAAACTAATAATACACAACTTGTAATGAAGTTGTGGATTTCGAGACAGATATATTCATATTTTCATCTGCGAATCCAGACCAACTGTCATATTGATAAGAATTTGAGAAATGCTGAACTTTTATAACTGACCTACAGAAAATTATTGCTTTTATTTTTAATGTACAATTATTAGACGCTTGGATTAATGTATTTCTATATCTGCCTATTGGAAAGCTTTTATTTAAACCAGAAACCGTTGTTTTATGTTTTATTGTCCCAGATGTATTTAATAATTGATAATTTTATTATCGATCCATTATTGTATCGCTTATGACTAACTTATGTATACATCATAGGTTTTTCTGTTGCTGAGAAGTAAGTTATTTGAGTTATATTACTATGAGTTCTAAGTTATGAATAATGAGGTATAACAGAGACATCTGCTTGTTAACTTCGTTTTCTAATTGCCTGTATGGTTGTAAGGAGCTCAAAGACCAATATGTGCTGAAGTTTTGATCCCTATTGATAAACTAGATTACTGGTTTTAAAGGTGACATGTAAATAAGTCAATTATCGGACTGACTAAACAATATAACTGTTACCATAATACACTATCTGATTACAAGAGTCTCAGCAAAATTCAAGAATATGTTCTTTGTGTAAGATACAACACATACTAATAGACTATTCATCTATAATCCATTGCGCAGACTAATTTTAGTCAACTTAATTAATATTGCTCAGTTTTCCCATATACTTTATTATATTAGGGCTGATTTTACAGTATTACATTGAAATCGTGAATCAATCAGTATCAGGTATGTAACTTTATTCTCTATGTGCACCTGTTTAACATATTACTAAACATCAAGCACAACTTTCATCCCAGTTGGTTACATATCTCTTAGAAGGCACAATTCAATTAAAGAATACAACCAGTCATAAAAACAAAATGAAATAAAATTCACAATACCTAATACGTATAAACTACCTGAAAGATTCATCACTTTCTTTATATTTTGAAAATATAACTAATGACGAATTATAAGCCTTACACAGAGAGTGACAGAGAACTTGGTGCCAGTGAATAGGGTTTGACGTGACAAACTAATGGTGTAACTTGGATGGGTATTAGCACAGACGCTATACTAATTACTATGCATAGAGTAGGTATTTCATATTGAGCATATCTGTACGGAAAGAGTCATGTCAATTACTGCAAATTACACAATACTGATTCGATCAAAACATCAGTCCGAACGAGATACATGTCTACAGAATTTGTTACGAGAAATTATCGTGATACCTGAGACTGAATGAAAAAACTAGTTGCAAACTGGACAGCCTCAGTTACTAATCTATTACTTTAAAGAATATGAGAACCAATCACTGAGAGCTAAGTAACTATTCGTACTTGATCATATCAGCTGATCGGCAAGATCATTTTTCACGCCAATTTAAATGCAAATTGCATATATTAATCGGTGATTACTTTTCCACACTTATGAAAAGTGTACATAAATAAAAAGAGACCATCTTGTGTTAAACAGTAAAATAGTCCTAACAAAGAAAGTGAATCAATTAATATCTGTGAGACGATGATGATATTTGTTATTTAGATACTAGACTATAAGGTATTAAAAATAATAATCATCATCATGAATATAAATTATCGTAAAATAATGAACAAACAGAATGGTGCATGTGCGCGTGTCTAAATAGCACGCTATTTATTAGACTGAAATTGAGCAAACGACAGTGCGTGAGTAAATCAAGAATATTTAAGTGTAATTTTGAAAAATCACCACATAAAGAAACAAAATCATTCTTCAATGTATCATATAAAAAAGATTTTTAAAAATTGGCTACAAATTTCACGACTTTTTAAACGAAACAAAAAACATCAATACAACTATTAGATATTAGTCCTTATTTACGAAAGACTACACAATAATTGTTGTAACGGAACGAGTATTATGGAAGTTCATATTCAGTAACACAATAGATTCAATTATAGTCTTACTTTACATGATAGTTGTGGTTATACCTGATCAACTTTGTTTCATAAGCAATTAATTACCAAAGCTGATAGTTTGAACCACCGAATCAAAACTCAGTAGTCTAGATGAAATTTTTTTACCATTTTTGGTCTTTAGAAGTATCTCACTTAACGTTAATCTGTAGCAATGACCACCCCCATAATGGAAACAAATAACTCTATCTGTACAAATTCGAAACAACAGTGCATGTTTGGCATTAAAAGATCTATGAAGATTAACTAAATAAAAATACAACCCCTAAGATTTAACCAATAGACAGTTAAATCCAGTTAAAGATCGTCGATAGCTAAACTGTAGGAAAAGGTCTTCCTAAATCAGAGCTTGACATTGCATTCGTAAGCCATTCAAACGATGATGCTAACAAGGGACCATTGCAAAATAAAGCACAGTTGAGTATCATACAACATTGTACAAATATATCAAGATGGTCTTAGAGCCAAATGTAATTTTAAAACTCAAGTGAGTGAAAAAGCTTTTTAATGAATAGCTCAGCTAACTTGGAGCTTTCCATGATATTTCTTTCCTCACTTTTCGTCAAATGTATTGACATCGCTGTATAGATTTGCATGTTTGAATCAGAATAGTATAAGGTGAAATCAACCATATAATAATAATAATAATAAAGTACATTCAAATTAATGATAATTGACACTAGGATATATATAAAAATCGATACAGTTTTTTATTTTTATTCATCATACATTTTCACCTTAGTTAACACCATTTACTTATCTATTTTGACATAGAATCGTGAGAGGATTCAAAAGAAGTTTGAAAAAGCTGTATGAAATAACTAGCATGAACAAAAATCGGTTTACTACGAAAGAATATACAAAAACCAACAACCTGTACAAATGAAAACCTTTTAAGTAATAGGTGAAATAAATTAATATATACAGAACCAACTGATAAATAGATTGTTTCCAATTGTAATCAACTAAAAACCTTTGGGAGTAACACTGTTATGTGATGTCATTAGTACATATGAAATCAAGAAATAGGTTCAAGTGTATCAGAATTATATCACAATTGTATAACTTCATTAAGTGTACTTCAGAAACATGCATGCTTAGACTGTGAGTTATAAGGCAAACTCAAAATATAACGAAATCGTAGTCTGATATCCAGTAAATATCACCGTTTACAAACCAACTTCAATATTATCTAATTCTTTTGGGCTTTAAAGCATAATTATTCAATGTGCAAATAAGAGACATAAGACGAACCTTTTTTAAAGTATCGATTTCCAGCTTAATTTCTTCTTCATCCTCTTCTGTAATTGGCATTACCTTGATGGCAGCTAGCTGACCAGTTCGAGTGTATCGTCCCTTGTAAACATTGCCATAAGTACCTTTGCCCACAACTTCAATCAGTGAAAAAATCCCCGATGGATCACGTAAATCCTCTAAATTTGTTATATCCAATCCACTATTGTTGGACATATTGCTATTGATGATCTTTAATTCCGCAGGTAAAAACAGTACTTAGCTAGACCGAAGTCTCCAGAACACGTAAAGAATGGTTTACTGGGTAAATTTCAGAAAAAATGAAGAACTTTAAAACGTGCGTATAAAATAAGTATGACAGACGATCTAATTATAAAAAACATGAATTTTTTGACCTAATCAATTGATATCTACAAACAAAACCTATCTTTAAAAAGTTCACCACTAAATATTGATACTGAATGACAGATGATCTAGAGGACAACTTTCAGTTCAGTTTAGTCAAGCTATCATTTAGGGGTTTACGAAAAATCTTTATTTGGTGTGGAAACGAGCTGGGTGTTCTAGACATATATTTTGTCACAACTGTCCGAATTTAGTCAACACGCTAGAGTACGTTAACATATACTGAACCAACTCATGTAATAACTACGATCGACGTTGCTCTGCAAAGTACAAAGTGAATGGACAATACAGACAGGCTAAGAAGCTGGTGACAAATAAAATATTTATTGATACCTACTAGTTTTGCATCATCGAACGTCAGATGGTGCAAAATAACCTGGGTCACATCAAAATATTCTAAGGGTGGGAAATGGTATACTTAAGATCAAAACCAATGAAAAGATGGACGCTACATCGGCCATGATAAAAGGTCTACTTTCTGTACATTTGACTCAACACCTGCAGTATAAATTCCACTTTCTCCATTCTTATTCAACTTTGTCATAAACGTGTTTTAAGAGGTAACACTTTCCTCGTCTGATTTTTCAGGAACTGAACTTTTACCTGAAGATTCACTTGTTAACTTATAATGTGCAGATGATATAGTTCTATGCGGTGGAAATGCTGCAAAAATGCAGTCTTATGACTACCCTAAGCAACAATGCAAGCATGTTAGGGATGCGATTCTCCCCCTCGAAATGCAAAATGTTGCTTCAAGACTGACTTGCGCCGGCGCCCGAACTAGTGACAGAGAGTGATGTAATTGAGCGTTTTGACCGACTCATTTATCTTAGGAGTCTCATCAGTGTTGATGGCCTGCTGTCCGACGAAGTCTCAGCACAGATAAGGGAAGCTCGATTAGCTTTCGTCAACTTGCGTTATTTATGACGTAGGCGAGATATCCTTGGACAATCGAGTAAGCAATGCTGTCGATATGAAACGAGTACTAAGTATAGATAGAGAACCAATAGATGAAGTAATAAAACTTCATCAGTTGGGGTGCTTGGGACATGTGTTACGTATGTCCGACCGCCTATAACTTATTTTTAAAACGTTAATTGGGATGGCCGAAGAGTCGACATATATAGATGTTGGTCAACTAAAAATTGCAAGCAGCACGATAACTAGTGATGCAAATGGATTGATTAAGTGAAGTGCAGTAGTGTATGTCTTAAGTTGTAACCGAATGCTTGAATATCAAACACCCCAAACACAAAAATACAATTAATTAAGTGCAGGGAAAGCCACCGAAGATTTACTGGAAAAGTATTTATCAATAAGCAGAATAAAAAAATGGTTAATGAGTTTACATTTCATCTCTATTGGAAGAGGGATGGATTAATGATCAGAATTCAACTACTACATATTAACTTACATCCTCTTTCGACTATATTTGCCACTCAATGAATAATTAAGTTCGAGTCAGATAACTTTACGAACATATTTGGGCACACTGAAATTTAGATCGACAGAAGAGACTCACAAACTTAGTTGAACAGAAATATTTTATTCGACCAAAAGATCTCGAAAAAGGTTATTCTTGAAAACGAATAGAGAATTTGCTTGGAACCGGTAAACTGTAGAGATACAATAATGGAATTTTCTACTAGTTCTTTGAAGAAACAGAAATTAACTCGTTCTGTGCTGTGGTGTCGAGAACCGTTTAAGACTGCTTCAAAGCAAAGACCAAGATTATCCTTAAAGTTCAGCTATCAAATGTGCTGAGGAAATCATCTATAGTTTCTATTAGACCGCTCGGAAATTAAGTTACGTCAGTAATTATCACTTTGCTTTCCACAGATGTGATACAAGTATATACATAGGTATCAAAAAACCTAATTATAATAAACAAACGAAGGAAATTTATTCACCAGTTTTAAAAAGCATGCTATAGAGTCTTATTTTTGTGTACATCAACTAATGCAGTACACTGCTTAGAAGTGAATCGTTACATCCTCCCAAGACCATCTCTACTCGAGGAGTAATAGTCACGGAAGAAAGTCTTACATTACCGACCAATTCAAAATAAAATGTTAGTTTAAGCAAGACTGTGATTAAAACTCGAAACAGGAGCTCGGTTCAGCTACACTAGATAGTAAGACATTTCGAGATCTCGATGTCTTCAGCCTTAATACAGGTCGCTACAATTTATTACAAAACCAATATCTCCGATTATTTTTTAGTCCAAAAAAGACTGGATGATTATTACAAATAACACCGAAATATTAGATAAACGAATAGTTTTCACAAATAATCAGGACTTTAGAATCACGCCGTAAAGTTGGAATTTGGAAATATGGAGAGTCAGATATGAATTGTATAAAAAGCATTGGGAATCTCCTAGGCACCAACATTTTTTAATTATTTTTACATGACCTGAGGATACATCATAAGAAAAGTTATCCGAATGGAAAGAAGCAGTCCAAAATGTTATACTAACAAGTGCGGAAAATCTTTATTCATGTCCAGATGTGTGTTTTATCAAGTAAAAGCTTTAAAACCACTTTTTTTACATGAGAATTCATAAATGCACTATGTAGCTGCACAAATAAGCTAGTAAGACGTGGCATAAGAAAGAGTAATAATTATAAAATGACCGGACTCACAAAATTATGTAAAGGCATGAATACTGTGTACACTCAACATTTTAATTACTCCTAAACATAGACAGTAAAGAACTAATGTCCCTAACAAGGAAAGGAGCGGACACTTTCACACATAGCGCGTAGATAAGCAACCCGACATCGTATATAAATAACCTCAGTAATTGGGATTTACTTCCAATATAAATATTCGCTGTTTTATTCAATATATGCTATTATTAGATTTCAAAATTTTGTGTGAACTGTTCGAATGAAATTCATTTTGGTGGCTCTTGTAGCTTCAGTCGTTTTAGCTCCACTGTTCATTGTCGCTCGTTGCAATGATTTAACAAGTGATCTGATACTACTTAGTTTGAGAACCTGATATTATTTTATTTCCACCTCATCGAAATATAAATCGGTCGGATTAGATTTTATCCATTCGCTACACTAAGATGTTAAAACTGTATGCTCATTCTGTTGGTATGAACTAGAATGGATAGTAACTGAATGGTGTAGATTCTTAAGCTATCGAAGCGTCAAAATTGTTGAAAGAACTATCGAAAATTGTGAGGAATCGCTCCAAATTACTGCTCATACAGACTAACTGTGAAGTGTTTGGACCGTACCGTTATCAAGCTAGGGACATATTGTGCAAATATTGCACAAAACCTAGAAGGAGACGAAAGTGGTGTGTATGTGTCGGCAACTAAAATATCTAGCGAAACCGAGTTATTCAGTAATAAGACTGCATCCAGCAACCTCTTCACATATATCTAATCTAAATATGGGGTTATGCATTGTCACCTAATCTCACAATTATTCATCAACAACTTTCTGGGAACAACTAGAAAGATAGTATGCGGCACTGGTGCGGTTATCGTTTGCCGACCGACTATTATTCATGACTGTTAGGATGAGACTATTTTACTCATGAAATTAGCACAATCTATCTAAATTCCAATAAATCATCTGGCAGTCATAGTTAGTTTATATGGCACAAACTGATCACCTTAACACAAAGTGCTTGCACAGGACTAGATGGACTTTTTTCTGCATTCAATTTTCGTGTTGGTCAATTAAAAGTTTTTTAAAATTTGCACCTGGCCGGTTTTGTGAGTCCTAATCATGGTGCAAAAGATGAGGTTTGTTCATAAGAGCCTTAATTCTGTGATTGAGAGTTAAAACGGAAACATGGTTCTTATATTATTCGCTTAAATCCTAATCTCTAATAGGCAATATATTTCTCACTACTGTATGTTGGATGTTAAAAGATTAATTTGTTTACAAATCAAAACCTTGAGCTCCAACTTATTCCGGCATCGTATAATAAATGTTCACAACAATGAAGTTTTTTCTGTCACTATGTGGAAACGAATAAAATAAATTTCTTCGTCCTACCATGCCTTTTCCATGGGTCGTTTGTCTTATTCAGACGAGTTTCTAGAGTTTCTAAGAGTAGCTCTTGGAAACCCTAGGGTCCTATAGACATTTCATGACCCACGAGTCTGATCATCACAGTTACAGTAGGGTTACTGACAATCAGCAGTTATATCGTCATTAAAGGTTCGGCAGTAACGATGCCTAAATTATCACCATTCCTTAAAACTGCCTTGGATAACTTGAACATGTATTAAGAGCGATCTTCTAGTGGCTCCACATCATGCACTTGTTACACCAATATATATATATTCTTATTAGGTGAAGAAAGTACAGTCCATTAATGTCTCTTTCAGATGGGGAGCCAGTGAGAAGCAAGTCCGAGTTATGCAGATGGCGTAAAACCCCGTCCTTAAATGAAGGGAAACAAGAAACATACGTACATAATAATGAAGTTTTGGACAGCCACTACTGATCATAATGTCCTTATTCCAAAAACCGTTTATTAGTTGATGCCTGATCTCTTACAATCGGATGATACATATTACCATGACACTTGAACTATATGAAAAGAGAGGAAATATGACTAAATTAAGACAGCACCTTAGTATGAAAGAAAGTTGGATGAGACAAGCACCCGTCAGTCCATCACAACTCAGTCCAGGAGATTGAAAAAATTAAAGATTTGAGAGTACCAGTGTTGTCATTATGATTGTGTTCCCACTATCCTTTAAAGTTACCGTAACTCCTCTGACCGGAAGAGTTATTTATTTTCACACTTTCTTCACTGAACTACCCCTTGTATCAAAG